CATTTTCCTTTCATATATTACAAAAAAATCTAAAGAATTGCATAAACTTGTTGTTTAAATTAAGATTTAGTGTGTAAATGTCTTGGACACATTCATATTAGATATGATGTTTTGCTATGTGTAAATGGTCTTCGTCCATAAAATAGTGTAGATAGGGATGAGCCACACCCTAATTTATCGTCTACAGTATTTTCTCATGAATAGTTTACATTATGGTGTAGACAGTTTGTAGGAAGGTTTTAATATAACGCGCATGCGTTACATTGGTCCAATTACTCTATTTTATTTAATCTTTTAATAATTTTAAAATTTTAATTTTTTTAATATTTTATCAATAAGATAATAATTTTTAATATTAATTCTAACACAAGTCCAACGGTTCTCCTTCTTAACTCTTTTTTCATTATTTAAATATTAATTTTTAATATTTTTATCAATAAAATAATATTTAAAATATCAATTTTTATAAATTTTAAAATAATATTTTTAATTATTTAAAAAACAATTATTGTCTACAGATTGATGCCTTTTTTCAATTTACTTACCATATAAAATGTAAAAATTAAACATTTATGGTTGATTGTATAAATCTCCTATAAAATGTATATGAGATACATGAAATCAAAAAATGTGGTGGAGTGTGAACCGGTCCACACCACACCTACAGAATGCCATCATGGGTGTGGACCGGTCAAGTCCACGCAATCTGTCCATAGTTCAGAATAATTATGGATTGTGGTGTGGTATAGATTGGTCCCTGCCTTAGTGTGTGGTGTAGACCAATCCACACCCACCAATTTTTCACTAACCTCAAAAGACCATACTAACATGAAGAAATCCAAAGAATTGCATAAATATTTATAAGCACTTTTCTGATATCTACATATTATAGAATTTGAATGTGAAGTTCACTGGCCTCGAAAAACCATTTTGGTGCCAAAAAATCCACAGAATTGCATAAACTCATTGTTTATAAGCACTCTTCCCATATCTACATATTAAAGAATTTGTGTGTAAAGTTCATTAATTGGCCTTGAAAGACCATATTGGCGTAAAGAAATCCAAGAAATTACATAAACTCGTTGTTCGCTGGCCTAAAAAGACCATACTAGCAGGAAAAATAAATCCAAAGAATTGCACAAAAAACTCGTTTCAACTTTCAATTTCAACGATGTCCTACAAAGTTCCACGTGGCAATATCATTCACCTCTCTCTTTAAATTGCAAAGCATTCTTTTCCTTGTAAGTACGTTTCATCTAATTAAGAGTGTGTTGTAGCAATCACCACTTAATTGATTGAAATCAAAGTAAAATGATTTCTTTATTACCAATTGCTTCTTGCCCAATAGCCAAGTTGTTGGTGTGAGTTCAGCTTGGTAGTGACAACTAGCAATTGGTCGAGTCTACCGAAAATGTTTGCCCTCGGTAGATGGATATCATTTTCACTAGTTTCTCCTATTGTTAATCAAATTAAAAGATGAGTCCCCGTTTGACGTGTGTTTTGTGTGTGGTTTGTCAGTTTTTTAGAAGTCCGGTAGATCGAGTTTTGGTCTTTTCCTGTTTAGTTGGGAAAAGATGTGGTTATTAAAAGTTACAGTTTCGAAAAGACATGAGAAGTACATTTTGGGTTATTTTCGGGAAGGTCTAAATGGAATTTTCCATTTTTTTTTTCAATTCATCTTTGTGCGAACGGACATACCTTAACCAAGCGGTCTTCAAGTTGTTAAGATCTTGTTGCAAAATCTCATATCGTCTTTTAACTGTTAGAGCTTCCAGAAGATCTTTTAAAAACGACTTGTCAAACGGCCTCAAAATTTAGATGCATAAGAGCTTCATTACTTAATGAGGTATTTGGTATGATGGTGATGTGTTGCTCACTTGATGTTGCATTTTAGGTTGATCAATATAAATTTGTGAGAGAGATTTTTTTCTAATAAAATTTTTAATTGATCAAATACAAATTGTTATTTCTATCTAGAATGCTAAATTTGATATTTCTAAGACATGAAATGACACTCATATATGACATGATAATACATATTTCTCAGGAATTTGTATTGATCAATCCAAAATGCAACAGCCAAACACCCGTAAATCAACTCAACTCAATGAAGCCTGAATACCATTCCTGAGTCACCCTCTTTAAGACCCACTTCTATGCCTTATGTGAACTGCATCTTCCTTAAATATCTCTCTCTCTCTCTGGTCGTCTGTGTTTTCAATATTTTTGAAAAATAGGATTACACCACTTCAGTGTGAAGAAGTGGGAAATGAGTCGGGATCTCCTAAGCTTAATGCCTTGTGCTAAGGCATCACTAACTAACGAAAAATTATCAAAATTCATGAGGTAGGTTTGATTGATCAAAATAGCTATTCCGGTTTCAATTGTTTGATTGGGAAGAATCAGAATCCCATTATCATTCTTTCTGGAATGGCATTTTCTCATTTGAGGGAATGGCCATTCCCTACCTCTCCCTTGGGAATGAAATCCTATTCCTGCTGATCCTAATATAATTCCCATTATCATTCCTATTTAAACCAACCAGACTATGGGAATAGGCCATTCGGATTCTGGTTCTGGAGGATTTCGATTCTGATTCTAACCATGAACCAAATGAACAATCTGCACCTAATTTTCCTTTCTTATCCCATCCCATATCACCAAATCTTCCCATTATTTTCATATGACATAATATCTCTACACCCAGTTTTCCTTTCTTATCCCATCCCATTTTACCAAATGTTTCCTACAAACCAAAAACAGACAGACTTTAGTAAGTTTTCATATTTGTAAGACCATTTTATGCTAATATGCTTAGCTTCCCATCCCATTTCACCAAAATTTTACTACAAACCAAACACAGCCTAGGAAAGTTCCAGATTTGTGAGACTATTCTATGTTTAGTAGCTAGCTAAGCAGCCATCTTTAATTACTTCACTTGGACCACAGAATAAAGTCTTGTTTGTTTTTTTTTTTTCCTACCTTTCTTTATTTTAATTACTTTTTCTTAACATTCTGCTTGGATGAAACGTTATCAGTGTGGGGGTTCTGGAGTGAGTAATGACCACCAAATAAATACTTCTAGTTTACAAGCGGGGGAGGTGGTTTGATTTGTCATTTCTGATTATTATATTTAACAATATTTCGTGAACGTCGTCCTTATTCTTGGCTGAACGTGGCTGGGGACCGATTCTCATTAAAGCTGAAAAAGGTGGGTCTTGGACTTATCCTGAAAGCCAACCCGCAAAAGAGACAAAACGCTCCCTTATGTGTGTTGTGTCTGAACACAACTCCCCCCTTCTAGCTTTCTTGTGGCTGTCCTTCGCTTTTCCTCGTCGGCTCATCCCTCACCTTTAATTATAAATCTTTCGTCTTTTATTGACCAATTTATCCCTATTTCTCTGCCTATAAATTACTATACTCTTTGACATAGGGTTGAATCCCCTCCCCCACTCACTAGGGGTGTCAATGGATCACTTTTGGATTGGATTCGTCTAAATCAAAATTAATTTAGACTAATTAGATGGATCAATAAGACATATTGAATTAGACCAAATTAGACTTAATAGTCTAAAGTTTTTTTTTGGGGGGGGTTGAATTTGACCTGATCCATCTATAATATGAGCCTAGATTTCCTATTCACTTTTTTATACCCACGATGAATTGCAGCCACACGTCTCACAATTCAAAATAGAGATGTATGGCTGCAATTCACCGTAGGTTGAGTGTGGGAAGAGAATAGTGTACATAATCCGAGTTGTAATGGATTTATATTAGATTGGGTTGAATTGAGCCAATATCCGGTCAATTGATAAAGATAAGAATACAGGTGTCAATAGACCAGCTTTGAAATGGAATCAATCAAAATTAAAACCAATTTGAGCAGATTGGATAGTCTAATCATTGAATTGGATTGGTCTAAAATGGTCCAGAGTATTCATCGAATTGAATTGGACCTGATTCATCTGTAATGGATTCATATTGGATTGGATTGGATTGAACCAAATCCAGTCCAATTGACAACCTTACCCACCACCCGCCACCATCTTGGGCTTTTGAACATGTTTGTCTTTGGGCGGCTTCCTTGGATTAGTCAGTCAAAGCCCAGATAATCAATCAAAGCATTAGATTGAAAGCAGTTGAACTCTATCTTCATTGTTCAACTGACATCTTGACGAGTTTTCATTCATTGAATAGAAATGGAATTCTAGCTAGACCTATCATATAGATCATATCCACACACTCCTCACCTCACACCACATAGAGGACAGCGGCTTCAACACACACCAACAATGAGTCACAATTTCCATTGTTTTTAATAAAAGTTTTGAAGCAAATCACTGCTGTTAACACAAATTGCAACAAAATTAAAACCTTCATGTTTTAAGCTTTAACTGATTCCATTTGAAAGGTGTCAACTATGGATCAATTGGTAAGGTTTATTGCATGCTTTTCAAAACCGGACCGGAAAACTGGGAATTGGTCAGGTGACCGGTTCTGGTTTTCCTCAAAATCAGATTTTTGCCAAAAAACGTTGATTTGGTCAGTAAATCGCTGATTTGGGCGGTTGAATCGTTCGAACCATTCAACTGTTTTGACAATTTTTTATTTTTTAAAATTTTTTTTGTCAGAACGGGTCATCCTTTCGGTTCAAACAGTTGGACCGTTCAATCCGGAAACCAGACCCCTGATTGGTTCGTTGTCCGAGTCAGTTTTAAAAACCTTGGTTTATTATAGTGGAGACTTGGAATCAATTCCCACCTTCATTTGGGTTAACTACTCAGTGATTATTGGGTTGGACTATCACGGGTTGAAATTAACACCCAGATTGGGCAAAGACATTGTCTATTTTTGTAAAATTCCTTACCAAAGGAAACGAGTCTGGATCTCCTGCCCATAAGAATTGTACCCACGTCTACCCACATAACATGGCAATTATACATGAATAACATCTCATCCTCCTACATAGTATTATGCACGGGATATGTTCCCAAGGGGGTATAGTGTGTTGCGGGTAGATGTGGGCAGAGTTCTTATGGGCACGGGGGGACATGTTTTTGCTTTAATTAGCCCACTGATTCATTTCTTTTTCCTATATATAGAGACCAAGCAGGCAAACACAGCAAATTACTCCAAGCCAACCCAAAAAGCTCCCAAGCTCTCGGTCTTGTTCCTTCTTCTTCTTCTTGACAAGATGGTGACGATGCTTGAGGAAAAGACCCTCTCAGCGGCCATGAACGCAAGAATTATAGGCTCTGGCAGCGAAGCTATCATTCTTGCTCATGGATATGGAGGGGATCAGTCTGTTTGGGACAGACTCCTTCCATACTTGGCTCAACATTACCGTGTCTTAGTCTTCGACTGGAACTTCTCCGGCGCAGTGAGCGACCTGAACCTCTTCGACCCAGATAAATATTCTTCGTTCGATGCCTTCGCCGACGATCTCATCGCTCTGGTAGACGAGCAGAACTTGAGATTCTCAGTATTTGTCGGGCACTCCATGTCTGGTATGATAGGTTGCATTGCTTCCATTAAAAGACCTGATCTCTTCAAGAGGTTGATACTGGTTGCAGCTTCTCCCAGGTAACTAACTAACTAACTATCCCTCTGTTCTCTCAACTTTTTGCTTTGGAAACAGTTGCTGTGTTGTAATGAGTAAATTATAAATATTTCTATTACATGGATGTCTGAACTTTTTTCTTTCTCACATCTTTCATCGGTAAGCACTTTCTTCACTTGGAAACAGACCCAGGTTAAATTTAATTAGTTTTGTTCTTTTATCTTTTCATTTTAATTCTTCTTTCTGATTATACTGTGTGTACGCGAGAGAGAGAGATCTAAGTTCATTAATTTATGATTTTTTATTTCTTTTTTCTTTTGTACTCCATCTGATGATAGGAGTATTCCCCAGTTAAGGTTTATAATTGTTTTTCTTGATATTTATTTGGTTTTTTCATTTCATCACTTCTCCAACTCTCTCTCTCTCTGTTACCAGGTTTTGGAATCCTACATGTCTGATTAGCTTTCAATAATTTTTCCCCCAAATGACAGAAATACAGCTAGGGAACCAAACGGTATAAACTTTACCGGTTCCTAAATCTAGGGAGCGTCAGCGGGTATGAACTTTACCGGCCCCTTTGGGAGGGCTGAAGCTTTTTGATAAAGCTGCTTTGAAGAAAGTTTCACCGACCGGAAAGCCATTTTCTTGGACGGAAACCGTTGGTTATGAAACCAAAGATGCCATCCAGGAAAGCCGCAGTTGACCCATACTAGGCTTATCGGGGGTATCAGAACAGAACCCTGTCGGTACTTTCTAGTCTTTTAGGGGAAACACACGTGCCTTCCATACATATGATCGGAAAAAGTTAGAATTTGTCTGGACTTGGGAACCAAACACAGATAAAAACTTTGGCTGTCCACATGCTCTCTCCGCATGACACGTTACTCTATGGTCTGGTGGTCCCTTCGGTTCACGTAAACAACAACAATTTGTCCCAACTGTACAGCTTATAAACATTGTTTGATGAAGACTTCAGAAGTCCAAACTAACTGTACTCCGGCCAAGAAAATGGCTTTTCCATTTCTTTTAAGCCCCGTATGGGAGGACTTCCATGTTGATTGAGCCGCTTTTAAGAAGCTATCAAAAATAATTTTATCGAAAATTTTCAGTTCATGTAAATTAGGTGAAAATACAACTATTTTTGACTATCAAAACTAACGGTACTTCTATTTTTGGCTTTTTAGAATTTTCACCAAATACAACTTCACAACTTTCCATGTGGGGTTTGGGTGAACGTTTCACCCTCCCAAATGAACACTTAATGGCTTCTGCGCAAAGGAGTTCAATGAAAATCTCTCAACCAAAGCTTCAGCGCTCCCAAAATGGGGTGTGGATCCACTGTCAACATGTTGGTAGCAATATTACTTCCAAGTTCCAACATTATTATAGCCGCACATCTGAAACATGTTTTGTACTTGTATGTTATCATTGATGAGGTTATGCTGAGGCAACAACAATCATGTTTGAAATGTGTGGCTAGAAGCCATGTTGCTACCAAGAGATTGGTAGTAGATCCCGTGTTTCCAAACAGTCCTTAGGGCTGTGTTTGGTTTCAATGCAAATAAATTTGCATTAATGCAAACCCATGACAGTACAAATGATTTTAGTATAAATTCTGACATATTTTTGTTTCAAATTTTAGATTATTTTGTTTGATTGTACAAATGAAGTAAATTAAAACATGAAGCAGAATAAAGTAAAATCCAAAATAAAATTAAGCAAGAATTTGCATTTTTTACATTTGCACTCCCATAATTTGTACTAGTGCAAATAAATTTGCACTGCAACCAAACACAGCCTAGAGGAAAAACATCCCCATTCTATCTTTTGAAATGTATAGTTATTTACAGAAAGTGATTGATATTTTTGCCATGCTTTAGGTAGAAAAAGGACAAAACCTTATCACAAAATCCCAATAAGATTATTTCATTTGGAGAAAATTCTACTTGAAAGTTGGATCCTGAAAGATAGATAGATAGAGAGAAAGATAGAGAGAGAGAGAGAGTACATGCCTTCCAAGCCATTCAAATCGATATCAATGAGTTAACATGCAGATGTATTCTCAATTCTCAATAATTGATATATCTCTTCTTAGATGTGACTTGTAATATGTATATATATATGCATATATGTACCTATGTATGTATAAACAACAGTACAAAACTTGAAATCAATTCATTGATGACAAAGATAACTCACCAAGTTTCTGTTTGCATTAATTGTAGGTTCCTAAATGCAGAAGACTATGAAGGAGGATTTGAGATCTCACATATTGAGCAAATGTTATTCAACATAGAGTCCAACTTCCATGAATGGGCTCAAAATTTTGCTGGCCTTGTTGTTGATGGAAGACACCCTCCCTCTGTGGACAAGTTCAGGAAATCTTTGGGAGCAATGAGACCAGAAGTTGCACTTTCTTTGGCCAAAACCATCTTCCTCAGCGACGTTCGAGACGTCCTAGAGAAGGTTCAAACCCCATGCACAATCATCCAGACTTCGAACGACATTGTTGTTCCGGTATCCGTCGCTCACTACATGCACAACAAGATCAAGGGGAAATCGACCGTCGAAATCATCGAAGGTGACGGGCATTTTCCACAACTTACAGCGCATTCCTCGCTGCTCGATGTTCTTGGTAGAGTCATGGGTATTGATTTTGATGAGAAGATCAATCTACCATCTCCAGCAGCTGAAGGATCTCCAATTGGTACATAATTGTTTACTAAATGAGTGAAGAATCACCCACTTAGTATAATGGTTTGGCTTATTATTTGTAGCGCTTACTTAGTGTTATTATGGCTTTGATGTATTGTGTAGTTGCATTTAGTTTGCGTTGTTTGTTTCTTGTAAATATGAAGGTTTGGAAGCTTTACATATATGTTAGAGCTTGATATTAAATTGATGGGTTTTTTTACCTTAAATTTCTTCACGGATTATTTAACTGTTCTTTTTCTTTATCCAAATTTGATTTATTAATAATAAGTTTTAATTAATCAAATTTTATCCATCAGATTCAGATTGTATTCAGAATTCAGATATTGAATATCATTAATAAATTAAAATAAAAATGATCCAAATATTATACATATTTTTCCATATATATTTTTCCAATATGTATGATTTTGCTTTTAAAATAAAAACAACTACAACATCAACAAAACTATACATATTGGTGAACAACTAAATTTTTTCAGATATCATACTTTTCGGTATCATAGAAATTGTCATATTATAAAAAGAAAGGGAATTAAAGGATTATTTTAATATTGTATATATATCATGAATGTAATGGATTAACTTCTAAAACAACTTTAACCCACGATTCTCTATCAACCCAAATATTATTGTTTTTGTAAGCCCAATATTATTAGATTTGATCTTATTCAAAGGGAGGTGGGTACAAATTTGACATCATAGTTCACATTATGACATACAAACACAATTAATTTGAATCCCTGTTTGTTTGCGCAAAGTTGTTGATTTTAGACTTTTTATTGTGAATGCGTGGTGGTTGCGTATAAGAGTTTCGTATCTACTCGAAGCGTACATCTATAGGTCTTCCACAGAAGAGGTACAGTCAATATTGTCAAAACTGACAAGACTTGAGATTGTGTGTGTTGAAATAAAATATGCTTGAATTGAATTTTACTATGTCGAGTAAATGAATGAACATATCTGGTCTGGTCAAGAGGCAAAGAGAAAAATAAAAGGAATATTACTTCTTCATGAGCAGCAGAATTTCCTTAATTTGATAAAATTGACCTGGACCTAGCTGGATTGTGTGCTGGTCCAAAAGAGTTTTACAAGCTTAAAATCCCATAAACAATGGTTGGCTTAGGTTTTAATTGAAATAGACTCAGAACTCATATGAATAGACCCGATTATACTGAAAATTTTATTTATTTAAGTAATAATTTAAATTTTAAATTTTGATAAAATAACCTTAATAAAAATGATAGGAAATTAGTAAATTATTTATATATTAATAAATTAAACATTTTTAACTAATATCATTTTATTTATTATCTATCAAATTTAAAATATGATAAAAATTATAAATAAATTAGGAAAATGTTATATATTTAGTAAAATAATCGGTTCTGGGTCTGAATCAATTGGGGACAGGTAAGATCCAAAACTGACTCAATTATAAATCAGGACAAAATCATAGAATCAAAATCATTAGAATCGGTTTGATCGATTCAGACCCATCAAGTAGACCTGACCCATTGACAATTTGACAGCCCTAGAACACTCCACTTCCTCGTGTTCTCTGTGATTTTGGTGCATCTGCGCATCGCTAAAAGCAAATGTGAGGGCTTGCACCCCGAACAGAGACAGAAAAGAAAAAACGGATCAATCCATGACATGTTGATTTAGAAATGTTTGGTCATTTATCAATGTTGACGACTTTAATTGGTGATTTCCCAAATGATAGCCATTGATTGAGGCAATTTGCTTTTTGGATCATAAAATCAATCAAAATATATAAAATAAACTTGTATCATTGCGCATGGCTCTGTTGGTGGTTGAATGTTTGTTCCCCTTTCACCTAAAAAAAGAAGAAGAAGAAGAAACTAGAAGTTTGTTCGGCATAAAAATCAAATATAGATTTATGTGCTCTAAGGCTGCATTTGGCATTCTTTATTTTAAGGCATCTCCTTTTTGCAGTTAAAATCTCATTGTTCATAAGAGCATTTTAATTGTAAAAAGGAGATAAGTCCTTATAATCAAATGACAGCATATGAAGTGAATGCGTATTTTATATGGATTTAGAAGAAATACCCTAAACCAGAAGAAATTTGGGTGTTTTTAGTTGCTTTCTTTAGGCTAAGGCTCAGATTGGAAGGAGTGCAAATATAAATGTACAGTTGCAAAGTCTTGTATTTTGTATTTGTACTCTTCCCAAACTGAATCTTAGGCTGTGTTTGGTTACAGTACAAATTTATTTGCACTAGTACAAATGCATGGGAATGCAAATGTAAATTCTTGTTTAATTTTATTTTATTCTGCTTCATGTCCCTTATACTGCAGTCAAACAAAATAAGCTAAAATTTGAAACAAAAATAGGTCAGAATTTACACTCAAATCATTTGCATGACCATGGCTTTGCATTAGTACAAATTCATTTGCATTGCAACCAAACACGGCCTTATTAGTAAAAATTTGAGATCAATTGGGCAGGCCCATAATTAGGGCTGCAAATGTACCTGGTTCGTTTAAGCCAGATTCAGATATTCGTTTATCCTATAATCAAATCTTATTAATTAAACCAATTTTGGATATTGCTTGATCCGTCCAATCCAATTATATGCATTCATATAAAATATCAAATTAAGTATTAAAATTTTGTAAAATTAAGTGGGATTTGGAATTTAAATAAACTTATTTTTCCCATTATGGTACATATTTTCCATTTTCTATTTAGTTTTATACATTTATGATAATTGGATATAGATTTACTGATATTCTAATAGAAGTAGATTTTGAAATATATAAACAAATGAAATTCAACTTCAAATCTATGCTTACACATATAGTAGATTTTGGACCAAATTTGGATCAGGTCAAATTTGAAAAATAGCTTTGGATAAGAGATGGTGGAGATGTATATGAAACTTTGGGGGAAAAGTTGAAAAGGGAAGGGTGCATTCAGTGGAAAAATAATCTATAAATATTTTTTTTAGGTTGTGTTTGGTTTGAAGGAAAAAGTAGGAAAAGGTAAAGAAACTTTTACAAAACTTGTTTGGGTTTTTCTACCTTTCCCTACCTTTTCCTTCAAACCAAACATAGCGTTACTGGAATTCAAGTTCAAGTTTACCATCATCAGGCTCCACTTCTTTAATATCTCTAAGCTCTTTATATCATCACATGGCAATGTATGAAGGAAGATATGTAAGTTGAAAGTTTAGAATTCGAGTTATGGATGGTTGTTTTCTTGAAAGTCCATTTACATTTGCTGTTTGAGAAAAAGTGGAAATTTCTTTATTGAGAGAGAGAGATGATACTTTGTGTTATTGTAAGTTGAGTTTCAGCCAAACAGTATTTACCCTATGTGCTTATTAGACCTGTTCACGGGCCTTGGACCCAATTTTACATTATCTTGGGTTTGGACTTTGGGCCGGGCCCAATTTTGGCAAAAGCCAAGTCCAAGCCAGGCCCATGAATAGGTCTATTATAACAGAAAGGCTTCTTACATCGGTATAGTTTGATTCAGTCCATCCATACTGCTTACGGTACAAAACAACTTTTCTGTTGGGACGTGGTATGGTGTGGATGAAAACACACCACTCAATTTTTCATCCATGCCTCAGAATGCCCCTTAATTTGTTGGTTTTGGAGTTTCAACAGAAAAAAGAGGACATATTTTTTTATACAAGAACTGGTAGAGTTGTTTATAGCTGAGCAATAAACATTTTCCAGTACAAAGGAATTCAGATTAACTGAATGCTTTAGCTATTCAGTGGGCTGTGAAACCAATGATGAGATTTCAAGCCAGTAATAAATTCATGAGCCCCACTGTAAAAAATGCAGGCCCCATCCCATATATTTAAATACTGGCGTTGCCAGCGTTCAGCTAGACCTTGCTCGATACAAAGAGTTACTGTTTGCTACTCTATACTTGCTACTAACTTTATATGCGGAGTAATCCTGAGGACACAATAAGGTATTTATTTATCAACGAGCTGGACCGACTAGGATTCTAGATGATTTCCATAGTCGAACTTTAAGCTTTATTTTGCAATGTATGGTGAATCAACCGTGAGCATTAAGCTGAGCAGAGCTTGTTTAAGTTAACGAGCTGGCCCAAGCCCAAGTAGGTTCACCTGCTTTAGTGCCCAGTTAGGAGGGCTTTTATGCAGTGGATTTTGGCTTTCCGAGTTGCAGTCCATGAGTTCAATAAAGAAGCCTAAATGCAACATTTGATAGGGAAAAAAATCTAAAAAGTCAAATTTTGATCACTGTACTGCCATTTAGGGCCTGTCTGGGAGGGCTGAGAAGATTCAGCTAAGCTGGTTCAGCTGCTTCAGCTAAGCTGGTTCAGCTGCTTCAGCTAAGCTGGTTCAGCTGCTTCAGCTAAGCTGGTTCAGCTGCTTCAGCTAAGCTGGTTCAGCTGCTTTGAAGCATTCTAGATAAACTACTCCTTCAAATAACTGGTTACAGCCAATTTGGGCTCTCCGGATTTTTCACCAAATATGGCTTATAGGCTGTTTTCATGGGGTCTATCTGGTTTAGCTGCTTTAAATAACTTATCTGGAGTGCTTCAAAACAGCTGAACCAACTTATCTGAATCTTCAGCTCAACCCTCCCAATAGGTTCCTATACGACTTTTGGATAAGCTTCTTCAAAGCAGCTGAACCAAAGTTAAGCCCTCCCAGATAGACTCTTAGATTCATTGATTTGTGTGAGTGAATGGATGGGGAATGGAGGGGAATATGTATGCATTTTAGAATCTGGGCTACATAAGCTTGTGAGAGTTTCGGCTTAATGATCCATCCATTATTGAAATTGAATTTTAGTTATCACAGTCTCCTAAAAGTCTAAAACCATGGTTCAAAGGAGAAAAGCACGTGACTGAATAAGAATTATTTTCCAAACAAAACCTGTAAACTTGGTTGCTTAGGCCTCTTTTGTTTGCAGTGAAATTTCATTTGCAATGGTGCAGAAGTATGGGAGTGCAAATTCTAGTTTACATTTGTCCGAATTTTTACTTTGCTCACAGCTCAGTTTGTAACCTGAACTGATCTCGTCATTGCAGGCTCCTTTTAAGCCTGAATCAGAAGCAAAAAGCATGTGATTCAATATATTTATAAGAATTACTATCTAAAGAAAGCCTGCTTAGTTTATTGCTTTTTAGCCAAAGTCCTGCTTGTTGTAGTCCTCAAATTTACACACTGTAGCCTTTCTAAAGACAGGAGACCAGTAGGAGTGTCAATAGACCAATTTTGGTTGGATTCCATCCAAATCAAAATCAATTTGGACGGATTGGATGGACCAATAAGACATTTTGAATTGGACCAGTCTATATTTAATGGTCCAAAGCATTTATTGAATTGGATTGAACCTGGTCCATCCAAATGGATTTCTATTGGATGGGGTCAGATTGAACCAACATCCAGTTCATTGATAGAAGATAAAGAATACAGGTGCAATGAACCAGGTTTGGATTGGAATAAATCTAAATTAAAACCAATTTAAACAGATTGAATGATCCAGACATTGAATTGGACCGGTCCAAAATGGTCCAAAGTATTCTCTGCACTGAATTGGACCTAATCCATTTATAATAGATTCATACTAGACCGGATTGGATTGGATGAAATCCGGTTCAATTGACACCCTACCTATACCATTCTCCTACATCAGACATCCCAGAAATGTAGCCAATACAAATAACTGAAGCCACCTTACGACCCATTGGGCTAAACAAATTACAGCCCATTTCTGACCATGGGCTGTAGAAGCAGCCCAAGCCCTAATCCACAGTTAGTCAAGCACGGCTACTCATGAACAAGTCCAGCCCATATGCATTTACACAGTGAGAAACTGAAATTCCATTTGTAGACATGTATTATTGCATGATATTATCATATTGGAAGAATTGGGAGAGATTATTACTTATTTATGTCAGGTCATATCAATCATTAAGCATAAACATCAAGAGGTTTTTGGCCCATTCTAATTCCCATTGGATTAGAATATTTCACTTCGGCGGGATTCATGAAATAGGCTAGCAATCTACCAATGAGGCCCCTTATCAGGATTTCAATAATTTGTTCTCATTCTGTCAATTTCATTAACCAAGATTCTAATCCAACGTATTTGACATATGCCACCGCATAATGGCTCCCACAAATCGACCAATGAATGGTTGCCACTTATAAGTATTACAGGTGAAATCTAGAACGTTAGATGATTAATGGCTGGGTGCTCGAATGAAAGGCATTAACTATTGGGTCGATGTAAAATTCAATCCCCTCCGTTTCCCCATGCAAGTGGGCCTTTAAATGGGCCAGTTCGAACTAATTAATAGGCCAATTTATTAGTTTTTTTTAAAGCCCACATTATTAGGGTTTGGATTGAGTTGGCAGATCTCATCATGATCTGACACCGCACATCTCATCATCATGAGGGATCCCACCATAAAACGGGATCCGCGATGTATGAGATGTGCGGTGTCAGATCCACTAATTCAGAGTCTGTGATGAGTGAATTGATTAATCGTGTACATGAGTCCTTTTCAAATTTCTATTACAAACTGTAAATTGATCTGTTTTTTAATAGAGAGATGCTTCTCTGACGCTTGGATTGCGCTTGCGGTCTTCATCTCCTCCAAGTTCGAGTCAAAGTCTACATTAGCGAGCAATACTACAGTACATGTTTCACACTAAGTTATTTCTCTACTATTCCATTTTGATGATGATATTAGCCGTTTGATTGGAATTTCTGAAAGTTCGGGCCACAGACAGCCTAGAAACAGAATTTCATCGAACGGATAAAACAAATCTATCTTTTTCGATTAATACCATCGACTGACCTTGATATACCTGCTCCATCACTTTGTCGTTTTCCTTCTAATCAGGAAAGGCTAAAGCCCTGTCTACACGTGGTAGTTGCACGTGCGAGATTATTTAATTCATTAATTGTTAATTCAGAAAAACAGAAGCAGAGGCAGAGCTTCTTCTCCTCTTCTCTCTCCGTCAGATGCTCAGAGCTCCTCGGAGTTGTTGGTGTCGCTCTGCAACTCAAGTGCGCACGTTAAGGGCCTCTCTTCACAAATTCTTCCCACCTAGCTTCCCATCTCTGCCTATGAAATTGTAAGTTTCTCAGTGACCGAGCCAGATGTTTCGTTTTTCTTCTTCTTTTTGGTGAGATTTCGGGATTCTTGCTCTCTAACTCTCTCCAGATCTCGAGTTCGCAGCTTTTAAATCTCTATTTGGTTAGGGATTGAAGTAGCTCTTATCAGATTAAGCTTCGAACATGAGATTCTTTTCTTCGCCTTTTCTGTTTTCTGGAGTAGATTTTAGCTTCAATAATTGGTAACTGGGAATAGCTTCTCGGATCATTCGTTTAAGTAAAATTCATAATTCCGGTGTATGATCTTCATCTTAAACAGTTTTTCAGTCAATAATGTGAAACAGTGTTTAGTTTCTGGCTAATGTAGCTTGATCTTCAGGAATCTGCTAATGAACAGCTCAGAAGTAGTTATTTAGATATTCCTTGGTGAATTTAGAGTTTGTTAGAGTATTGCTCTTTGTTTTTGTGCTGAAGGAAGTAAAGACCTGCGTGATTTTCTTGTTTCATGTAGGTTTGACACTGGAGAAACTGTAAATGAAGCTGTAAACGAAGGTCTTCTGCGGTACTGCAGTTTGTGAGTTTATATAGGAAAAATTAGTTACTCGGTTCCTTTGAAGAAGAAATTTGATTCAAACAATGTTGATGAAGTTTTTTTAGTGCGGTAAGGTAGAAGGAATAAATGGAGGAGAACAACCATAAAGAAGATTTACAAGGAAATGTGTTTAGGCAATCTTCTGCACGTTCAAGTGGGAGCTTGAAATCCACATTGTCAGGGAGATCAACTCCGAGGGGTTCTCCCTCATTTCGAAGATTGAACTCTAGTCGAACTCCACGAAGAGAAGCTCGAATCAGTGGAGGCCGTTTTCAGTGGATCCGGAGTAATAGATTGGTTTTCTGGTTGACTTTAATTACACTCTGGACCTACCTAGGATTTTATATTCAGTCCAAGTGGGCTCATGGTGATAATAAGGATGAGCTTATTGGTTATAGGAGTAAACCAGGTTTTGGAATTTCTGACCCAAATCAGTGGTCAGGAAATGAAGATTCTTTGATGGTTAACAATGATTCTAGCGAGACTCAGGCAGGAGAAGGTAACAAGTTGAATAATTTGAAAAAAACAGGTGTAACTTTGGCTAAAAAGGAAAGTAGCACTTCTCCTCGGAGAGCATCTTCAAAACGGAAGAGTAAGAGATCAAGTGGCCGTAGCTTGCGTGCACGTAGGAAAACAAAGGCTAGAGTAAATGGTCAAAGCGGTGGCTTGGAAGAGCAGGAAGAAGAGATTCCTAAAAGAAACACCTCATATGGATTGCTTGTTGGCCCCTTTGGTGCAACCGAGGATAGAATTTTGGGATGGAGTGCTGAGAAGCGATCAGGTACCTGTGATAGGAAGGGGGAATTTGCACGTCTTGTGTGGTCTAGAAAATTTGTGTTGATATTCCATGAGCTTTCTATGACAGGGGCCCCACTTTCAATGATGGAGTTGGCAACTGAGCTCTTGAGCTGTGGGGCCACAGTTTCTGCAGTGGTTCTTAGCAAGAAAGGTGGATTAATGACAGAGCTTGCTAGGAGAAGGATCAAAGTTCTTGAAGACAAGATGGAGCTCAGCTACAAAACTGCCATGAAGGCAGATCTTGTCATTGCAGGATCTGCTGTTTGTGCATCATGGATTGGTAGGAAATCCTTCTTCATTTCATTAGTATAAACTCCAAAAAAGGGTGAAGGTATCTTCTTTCCATGCTGATGGCAGAATTTGTGTGGTTTACTATTAATGACATTTATAGAATAACCAAATCGCATTGTGGTTTTAGTTTACAATTACCTCCCCCCCCCCCCCAATTTGAGTTTTTGTTCTTTTGGCCTTGAGGTATATCAAACTGCTAGAAGTTAAGAACTTGGAAAGGGATAACTTGATACCAAACAATTTGTAGGGGGAAAGTTTTACCATAAGCTAGAAGTTAAAACTTGAAAGGGGAACAGTACCAATAAAAAAATCTTGGGAGAAAAGTTTTATCACAAAACAGATGATGATTCATGAAAGTTCTACATTGCAGCATGATGAGGGCTCAAAATGGCTCCACATGATCCTCTCTCCACCCTCTGTTCATGTGGATAAGTTTCAACCTGAAATGCCTACCACATGGATGACGGAAGTGAACACACATGGCCAATTCTGGAAGTCACTCTGATTGGCCACATCTAATATAAACGACAAAGAAATATACTGTGCTGTTATGATACCAGATGATTAATAAATCAAAGCTGTTCATTTGCTCTCTGGAACTATCACAACAAGAGCTTATGAGACATGTATAACATCTCATATCAAATGAAGTGCATTGAACAGACAAATCATTCTACAACTAGGCATTTTCATGAACATTGTATGCCTTTTAGGTTTCATATTGCACATCAAGAAAATACCTGTACCTATATTAGTCCTAATCATTCTTTTCAGGTCCTTGTCCATGATGCATGCCTTTGTATCCATTCAGGTCCTGGATAACTTGCTGAATTGTTGTCTTGATTTAGAACTACTTCATACTGTATATGTTTTGAGTCTATTTTCTTTCCTTTATATACTAGTTGCCAGCATCAAGTATTATCATTACCCTGTTATTGAAGTATGAAAATGTCACAGGCCTTTTGTCCTCTATGTATTTTGAATTTTGAACTATTAGATTTTTTCTTTTACCAATAATTGAAAACTTACTTGGGTATTATAAGAATAAGATATCTAATCCCTTTTGTTTTGGACTATCTGAAGGAGAAAACTTTGCATTACCAAGTTCAAATAAGATACAAGAGGTCAATAAATCTTGGTCCATTTCATGAAGAGTAAAATATAACACAAAAATGGTCTTGCTTCTTGCATTTTTCCTTGTTCAACCTAATATTGATAAATCAGTGCTTTGTTTCAGAACAATATCTTGAACATTTTACTGCTGGATCAAGTCAAATAGTTTGGTGGATCATGGAGAATCGACGGGAGTACTTTGATCGATCAAAGCTGATGCTAAACCAAGTGAAAATGCTCATGTTTCTTTCCGAATTACAGTCTAAACAATGGCTAGCCTGGTGTGAAGAAGAAGGCATTAAGTTGCGTTCTCAGCCTGCTCTGGTTCCACTTTCTGTTAATGATGAACTAGCCTTTGTTGCAGGCATTCCTTGTTCCCTAAATACCCCATCATTTAGTGTTGAGGCAATGCTGGAGAGGAAGCACTTGTTGCGAGATGCAGTTAGGAAAGAAATGGGACTAACAGAGAATGATATGCTTGTGATATCTCTAAGTAGTATAAACCCTGGAAAGGGCCAGATCTTGCTTCTTGAATCAGCACGCTTGGTGGTTGAAAAAAACGTTTCCCTGGAAGATTCTGGAGTTAAAGGTTTGATTGAATTAGGCCAAGATAATTCTACCTTAACTCAGAAGAAACATTCCAGAGCTTTATTTCAAGATATGAGCCGTGTCGGTAAATCTTCAAATAGATTGTTGTCTAATGCATCTAGTTCTACTTTAAATGAACATAAGAAGAAGCATAGACAAGTACCCAGCATCCTCGCCTCCAGTAATGTCACAAAGGTTTTGACCTTTGGCAATGATCAGAAAATAAGGGAAGTGGTATCTGACAAAGAAGAAACACAGGAAAAGATTCTTAAAGTATTAATTGGTTCTGTTGGATCCAAGAGCAACAAAGTGCCTTATGTCAAAGGAATACTCAGATTTTTATCCCAACATCCTAACCTGTTAAAGTCTGTGTTATGGACTCCAGCAACTACACGTGTTGCCTCACTCTATGCAGCAGCAGATGTTTATGTTATAAACTCCCAGGTGATCATGTCTTTGAATTCCTGTCTCCCGACTTTTGATACAGAAGCCCAGCTAAGCAATTCTGTCTTATTATCTTCTTAGATAAGCTTTTGTTATATTTCTGATTAATTTGGTAGGTAGTTCTGGAAATTTATGGTTGATAGTATTTGATTATCAGGGGTTGCTTAAATAACTTAAGATGTCAATTAAATGTCAGATTAAAAAAAATCCGTGAAACTTGTATATTTCTATTAGTAGGGATGTGGTTAAGTTTGATGTAAATCCAACTTCAGAAACACTTGTATCTATGCCTCAGAATATGTATCACTGAAAGTCCATATTGCACAATCTTATCGACACTTAAAGATCAGTACAGACACCAATTTGGCATATATAAATCCATCTATGGGCACCAATGGTTGCCATCTTTATATGCTGTCCAACTTCTAGAAACCATAACTCCTTGACATACTTTTCCTAATAATAATTTGTCTCTCGGCAAACATTTAACATCATTGATTGATGTACAGGGACTTGGAGAAACATTTGGAAGAGTGACAGTTGAAGCTATGGCGTTTGGCTTACCGGTATTACAATTCACTTAATCTTTCTCTTACTCCATCTTGGACAGATGAATGACTTTATCCTTGATACTCAATATGTTACAAATCCAACCATAAATATTGATGTTGCTGTTTCATTTCCATTTGTCTTCTTTTTGGATCCCAAATCCAACCATAAATATTGATGTTGCTGTTTCATTTCCATTTGTCTTCTTTTTGGATCCCAAATCCAACCATAAATATTGATGTTGCTGTTTCATTTCCATTTGTCTTCTTTTTGGATCCCAATAAACAACCAATGAGCAAATCCAGTTTGTAATCATTTTGGTGCACACCTTTTTCCTTGAATGCCAATGTAACAGAAATGTGCCCGGTCTCTGTAATTCGGTTCATATGTTACTAATTATCATCACATTGCACCTTGTCTTAATGATGACCTCACTAAACATATGTATACAATGATTTCATGTTATCTTCATTTTTTTCTTTTTGAAAAAACACAATAACATATTGAGAACTACATAATATTTAAATAGTTTTGCTCTGAACAAAAGTTGATGCTGCTTAAAAACTTCTGAAGGATTTTTGACGAAGCATGAAATCTGGACAATAGTCTAAGGAGCTGTTTGATAATGGATTCATTTTTGGTGGATAAAATCATTAAATAATAAAATATTCAAGGGTATAACAATAAACCCAACTTCAGCTTCAGCCATTAAAGAGCTCACAACCTACTTAAAAACTTATTCACTAAAAGACAAAGCAATAAGCTTATCAGTTTAGCCACTTCAGCTGTTATCAAACAGCCCCTAAGAAAATGGCAACTCTGGAGAAAGTAATGCCTAAAGAAAGAGATACCCTAGAATAAATAATGAGAATTATATGCCTCAAATGTAATCAGTAATTCAGCATGCATACCTTGGTGAATGTCAGGTAGTTTTTTCTATCCAGAATTTTTTTATGGTAAAATAATAAATTATTAAAAAGAAAAGAATAATTAAATAAATTACAAGAAAGGTGATCAGAAACAATATAAGATTGCATATATGGCTGAAGATGAATGTCAGATCAGATAAGAAACAATAGATACATACAACCATTATCTAATCAAAAATATGAACTCTGTACAGCTGCCAAACTTTAATGATCAGTCATCCAATCCATGTCCTAGCTAACCTTTTTTTTTTTTGCTTCCAATGTCCTAGCTAACTGGTGTTGGTTGTACAATTTCTGCTCCACCATTCCACTCTAGAGACACATCCCCTATAATGTATATGTCTGGATACAACGTCCATGACACTTTTAGAACCCTGAATGGTGCCCACCAATTCCCATCTTGCTCAGAACTATGACTTTGCTTTGTTGCAGATTGGACCAACTTGGTTGTTTCTATTTTAGGGAGTTAATATCTCAAAACTGGTTGTACTGTGCCTATCAGTCAATAACAAATAAATCTGTCTGAAAACATGATGCAATGAGAAGGCACATAAAGGTATTGTTATAGAATTCCCTCCACTATATACATATCCCGGTCTTACAATGTGATGCGACTACAAAGAGACTTCTATATATAGGAAAATAAATCGTACCCAATATGCATTACTTTTCTCTTGTTTTTTATAATAAAATACAAATTTTTATTATAAAAATTTTTTTATTGTCCTTGCATAATATTTTATCAAGAACAAAAGGAAATCCTCCTCCCTCATGAATGACAGAATAAAAAATTTTTGTGGACCAGTTTATTGCTCACAAAATGTAGGCTACTTGATTGGGTCCTAATATAACTTTCTCCGCCACTGGACCTCTTTAAGATGGATCGTAATGTAACATTCCTGTCATATTCAACGTGGCTATCTGTGTATGTTCTTCACTTTCGTTTTTCTCACAACCATAAGCAGTGTCTGGTATAAGAATTTTTTCAGGTTTGACAGTTACTTAGATAATGTCAGAAAGAATTATGAGAAGAAATGGTAAAAAAATAAGCTTTTAATAGCACGAGGTAAGGTTTTCTAGATTTACAAAGGTATCACAATTTTACTTGGCACTATCTTGTTATTGTAAAAATGATTGCACAATAGAAGAATTAGCAAATGTATCAGAACATCACCAGAGGCAGATTGGTTAACGGAAAGATTTCTAAATTGTACAATGGATAAATCTGGATTTTAGATGATAAGATGGGAGGTACCCATGAGTCCACACTATCATCCTTTCATGAATCCATTAAGTCTCTTAAAAAATCTTTCATGAATCTAGCAGAACTCTTAAAAAAGATACGTGTATATGGTGAGTTATAAAGTGCAACAAACAGGCTTGACAGCAAGTTGTTCTCTGGTGCAGGTGCTTGGGACAGATGCTGGAGGGACAAGGGAGATTGTTGATCACAATGTAACAGGTCTTCTTCATCCTCTCGGGCACCCAGGAACTAAAGTCCTCGCCCAAAATCTACTTTTCTTGCTTAAAAATCCATCACAGAGGCAGCAAATGGGAATTAGAGGAAGGAAAAAAGTAGAGAAGATATACTTGAAGCGTCACATGTACAAGAAATTTGCAGAGGTCCTCTTCAAGTGCATGAGAATCAAATAAGGCTTTCAAAAGGGTTTCTTGATAAATCTTGGAAAATCTAGGCCTCTGAGATCGCCTTTTTTTTCTGGATAGGCACTGGGAATCTTGAAGTTTCTGTAGTTGAATTAATCCACCACATCTCCATTGTTCTCATTGATCAATTGGTCACATGTCAGAACTCGGAAGCTGCTCTCATCTGGATTAAAAAAAAGAAAAAAAGAAAAAAAGAAACCGTGGCGCTTAGTATTGAACCACTTAATTTTGTCAGTTATAGACCTACAGAGCTTCCCACTCACAAAACACTATTAAGGAATCACAACCAATTGAAGTGTGACCAGTGAGGCAGTGGCCTGAGTCGGAGAACTGAGTATACCATGGAGATGGGGGGAAATAGTAAAAAAGAACACTTTGACAAACTTTTTTGTTTGACGATGGACACAAATGCCATGATGTTCAAAGTTCAAACCCGAGTCACTGGCACACTGTGATTGATCATTCTTTCGTCTTTCCATCTCCACATTCCCCTCCCATTCAACCAAAGAACACGGTGCACATAAATGAAACTCCAACCATGCTTTGGTTCAGGCCAAAGGCGTTTCAAAACCTTTTCAGACAACCATGAGATGAAAGATTAACGATGATCTGTCAAAATGCTCGTAATCTTATAATACTTAAATCAGTTCTTAGTTTCTTTCTTTCTTTCTTTTTTTCCCTTTCTTTTCCTTTTCTTAAGACAATAGAACAACCCCAATACGAACTTGTGTCAGTGTCAGTGGCACACAACAGGCCTCCCTCCCACATAACCCACCAGTATGCACCCGTAACCAGAGATCCAAAGTTGAAAGGAAACGAATATCTTTGTTTGATTCCAAGATGTATTGTATTATTTTGGCCAATTGCACTATCATTGGCAAAATACTTAACCGGATTGAGGGGATAAACAGAACAAAAAGAAAAAATACTGTACAAAGAAAGATCAGCAACCAAAATTCTACACACCCTTTTTTTCCCTCCGGGAGCATTAATACGCTCCCCATTTAATATAAAATACCTATTAACCTCCCAAAAAAGTGGAGAAACCGCTTGGCAACTGTGCACCAAAACTGCCTCGATAATGACCTCTCTTCACTGCAAACAGCCGCCGTGTCAAAAGTTCACTTGGAATCCATCACAAATGACGAGCAACGGCCCCCAAGTTAAACCCCCCGTGCTCATGATAAAGCAAAACTCAGCGCTACTCAAGCAAAAACAGCACCAAGGTCCCCTATTAAGAGACTTTGGAAACCAGATTGACCGCCATTGCCTGAGATGTCTTGCTGAAGCCTGAGATCATACATATCCACAGGTCATTTGAGATTCATTTGTAAAGTCTACCCATCATCAGCAGGTTCCTTCTCAGACGATGCTTTTATCGCCTCAGCAGTCATAAGAGCAACGACAGCCTTGTGAATTGCAAGATCTGCCCTGTAAAGCAATCGCTGAGCTTTTTCTCTCTTGAGTTTGGCCATGTTGAATGCATGCTGAGCTGCACCTGATGCATCCCGCAACCTGAACTCGTCAAGATCACAAGGACCCAGCTGTTCAACTCTGCGCCTCTGGGACACTTCTGAGTGGTATTGCTTCCGAGTAGTCCACTCAGGTAGACCCATATTCCACCGGTATGCCTCATTTCTCTTCTCTGTCATCTTTTGACTGTATGCCTTAACCATCATTTGTGAATCACTTGGCAATAGAAACGCCCCTGCCTTCTTTGACTTGTTTTTGTGAAGTTTTAAGTGGTGATTCCTCTCAGAACCATCACTGCTCATTGACAGATAACCCGTGCTAATAGCATCTCGGGGTGATAGTGCCCTTGTTGATGTCTGGATCCAAGGGGAAGCATCCTCGTGGCTCTGACCAGTAATGACACACCTGTCCTCTCCAAGGGAAAACCCATTTAATCTTCTCCCTGGTAATAACACATTATCAGAGATTAAGCTTACACAAGAATTTTCAAAAAGCTTTTGAGAAACAAAATAGTGGTAACTAAAATGAGGGCACATTGAGGATTAAACTTACCTAAACCATGCAAACCATCATGATCTCTGGAGAAAGCATTATTATGCCCACCACCGGCTGCAAACTTCCTTTGAGACCTTTGTTTTGAACCCTTGTTAGGCACTTCCAAACCCCGTGGTCGCATACAGAAAGCAAACATAGGTGGCTTCTCAATTATCAGAGCCTTATCCTTCCCTCCATTAGGAAAGTTGTGAATTTTATTTATTGCCAACTCCCACTCTTTAACTTGTTGCTGATACCTCTCCCACAAAGGAGGCTAAATCAAGCAAAAGGATAGAAACAGAGAGTCATTAAACAATTATATGTTGAAAAAATAATAAGTTACACAATGACAAATGACACAAGAGAAACAAAGGTAACACATCAAAGACATGCATACAAACACCATGAGCTTGATAAAAGTTACTACCAAAATTCAAACTGCAATAAACAAATTTAGAATATAGCCTTCAAAACATGTTATAACAATTAAAAAAAAGCATTCGACTCAATAAAATTATGTTGTGAAAGGGAAGTTATTCTTTAATGATGTGGAATATATAGTGCCTTCAAAATTTAAATAAGTTTACCCTCAGGTGGGTATACTACTTTTGTCAAACCAACCACAACTAAATATAAGTCGCCAGAAAGTGCAAGTTGGAACATGAAGCTTTAAATAGGCAGCACAAGTGCACAACCACATGGTTCATTTTGGCCCTGGATATGCTTGTCAGAAGATCGGACCGTCTTGTCCACTCCCTCCCCTGATAAATGTTATTATCCCCCATTACACAGGATATGTCTGCATGAAGTGACTACTCTCAAAAATGAACTATTCTCACAACTTTTTAATAATAAATAATAAATAGAAAAAAGTGAAAAAAGAAAGAATTCAAACTACTCCCAATCTCCAATTCCTACATTTGTCAGCCCAAGATTTTACTACTGCACCAAGCAATTGTCCCTTTAACACAAGTTTCTTTTATTTATTATGAAAAACGTATATCCGGCCCAACTTAACTGAAAAACATATTTGGATGAGAATAGCCCTTTATTTCCCTTTTATCACTAACAGATATTGGATGCATTCTATTGGTATACCATGAACTTTAATTATCAAAAAAAAAAAAGTGTATATATATATATTGCACAAACAGTATCCTGGATGTCACATATAGAAATTATCTTTTTCAATAAAATATACTGTTAATGATCAAAGAAAACCATAATGCATGCTGGTGCATCATGGATGACAAACAAAAAATACTTTCTTCTCCATAAACCTGTCCTTTTTGCATTAAGTCTTGATTAACCATTTTTTATCAACAGCAAATTTCATTGATACAAATAAAATGGTTCAACACTCTCCCCAAATGACTTGCAGTATGACATAAACCACAAAGGTCCTAGCATATAGTACTTAAAATCCCATTAGTATAATGCAGTTAAACATTTGCACCTTGCCCAGGCTTTTTTTATAGTAAAAATAAAATTTCATTAAAAAGGAAAATAGTTACATTCTATCCAGGTGTAGGCAACACCCACATGCCAAGAATTCTGGCCAAAAAGCTCAATTACAATCAAACAAAACAATCCAGATTACACATTTGAATCCCCAACGTTTCCCCAAGCTTGTCCCCAAAGTCTTTTTTTAAGAGTAATAATAAAAATGTTTATTAAAAAAAAAAAAAAAAGATTACAACAAGAGGTGGCAAGATGGCACCTCAAAACCAACAACTACAACAACCAAAAAAAGACCACTATAGAGTATTGACTGATACAGAACTGAAACTCCAGCACACGCCAAAAAATTCCCCACAACTGTCCTACTGATCTTTTCAAATCAGGTAACAGAATAATCCAATACTTGGCTAAATTCTGGTACTAGAAACCAGCCTACAACAGTTTCTCTGACTGCTGCCGCCTGCCACTATCCTCTCCAAATTCTAAGCTTTGGCTCCAAAAATTCTTCTAATTCTTTCCTTCCATATATTACAACATCTTGCAAACAGAATGCAACTCCAAACCAGCCCTGCTTTCTTGCTTCTACTATACTTCTTTCATCTCTCAAGCCCCTAAAATTCGAAGATACCGACTTCAGCTTCCAAGTCAGATTCCAACTCCCCCTCCCCCTCTACATTTTCTGCAACCTCCCTTACTCTTCATCAACTATTCCTTCTTCCCTCCCTTCTCCTTCCTCCCACACTTCACTCCCCCTCCCCAATAATTTTCTTTTTAGTATGTTCTTCCGTTCTGCTTCTCTCAAAATGTTCTATTGCCTTCCTCACTACCCTTTCTCCTTGTAGAAAAAATAAATTCAGAACTTTCCCAACCTCCACCTGTCAATCAACCAGCTAGTCAATACTCACCCTTCCTTGCTCAGTATTGTCTTCCCCAATATCCTTCTCAATTTCAACCCTCATTCTCTCCTCTTCTCCCTCCTTTGTAACCTCTCTGCTCTCCCTATGGTCCTCAGTTTCTAACCTTTCAACCCCAACCCCTAAACCTAAACCTCCTTACCCCACCATCCTTTTTCTCTGTTATAGACCTTATGTTGGTCCTCCCCTGATTTTTTTCTTTACATGCTGCTTCCCCTTTCGTCCATTGCTTCAAACCATCTTCCCTATTATCTTCCTCACAGGAATTTCCTAGCCCAAAGAAGTGGAAGATACAAACCAACCTCATTGTTCAGTTGAGCTATGATTTCCAATGATTTCGCTCCAATCAACATTTCGTAACTTTCATTTATTGCCCATCCCCCATTCCCAGAATCTCCACCATCCCCTTCAACTTCCCCCTGTAATCCTTTTCCTTCCTCACCTGTGGAGTTACTCAACCGGACTCCAGCTCCCAGAGCTCTCTAGCTTGAAGAAGTCGCTTGATTGATTTCTTTGCTTCAATCACCCCTCGAAGTCAGCTCTTCTACAACTCGATGCCTTCAGGTCGCTGCAACTCATCCTTTTTGATCTGAACAAGGTGGGAATTCCTTTGTCTTCCTTCTGAAACTTCTACTTTCCTCCCGTTCTCATACCTCGTAACCACCCATACCCAGTCGTTTCTGGGTTCAAGCTCTCTTGCCCAGGCATTTCCCTGTCTAACTTGTTCATGTTAGCCCTCATCCCTGCTAAGGTATCTACTAAGCTATTAGCAAGAGCTAGTAATCCATCTGAATGAGCATTTCACATTTGAAGATAAAGCCACTACGTTTGTTAGCAAGTACCTTAATATACTTGAGAATTTGATTGGATTCGGAGCCATCTCACCAGTCACCACTATCTGACAATCACCTTCGAGTCTTCAACCACAAGTCCATTCCATACTTTGCCATGGATTAACTTTAGCCCTTGCAAAAGAGCTACAGCTCAGCTCTCACTTAATTGCCCGTTCCTGCTGGTCCTGAACAACTCATTAATATACTCCCATCATGGCCTCTTACAAACCCTCCCACACAGGACCTGATTGACCTAGGCTTCCACCTAAATCTAGTTCAAAGTTTCCAATTGCAGGTGCAGTCCAGGATACCTGCCAGCTTCTTAAGATCACAGCATTTTTTTGTGGTCTTCATGCAGTGAATACCCTTAATCACTGAAAGATCAACAATACTGTCTGCTTCTTGGGCTTTATTTTCAAATATTTTAGCATTTATCTCACACCATAACCCCCATTAAACTGCAGCCTTTGCACAATACCAAAACAAATTACAACATAACACCACATCCTTGCTGTGAAATGGCATTCACAGTTTCACTCTCATCGTTCTTCAGGTAAATGACACAGACATGAGAAAAGAGGCACAGATTAGTCTTATTAACCACTTTGTTTTCAACATTCCTAATTTTCACTGAAAACTATACTTGATCCTAACATTTATAAACCTCAGGATTTAAACAATAGCTTTCAGGCTATTGTTTTGGTCCATGTTATTATGCATTTTAGGCAATATGTTGTTCTGAATGAAATCAACACTGTTGATTATCAAAAAAAAATCACAAAAAAGATAAGGAAACGTTGTTGTGCTGCTGAGAACATTCACTAGATGAAAAGCTGTCATACTGCTGGTCGTGTATATCTCTTATTAGAGACAAGATCAAAACCCACTGAGTGGGCATGCAACAAGAAATTAAGGTCAAAGTTCCATGAGGGAATATGAGATCATAACACTAAAAGCAAATAGTGATGAACATTAGAGGTATAGATCAAATGTTTTACCTGAAATTGCCGGATCAGAGGCATTCCTTTCTTCTGCCTCTTTTGCTTCCAATGTTCATGTATGGATTTAATTACATCAACGGGCCCTACTCCAACCATCAGCTCCTCAATTTCATCGGATGAAAAGCTATCACGCTGCTGAGCATATGCAACTTTCTCAAACATATCCATCGTCCTTTCAAACATATCATCAGAAATCTGTGGCAGATTACACACATCAATATCAGAAGAATTTTGATGTTTTGAAATCCACTCATCATCATCACTTTCAATGTCATATAAAACATGTGAAGGATTCATAGCCATCTCAACTTCAGTCTCAACCTGCCGAAAATACTTTAAACTGCGAATAAATGGTGCCTCTACTGCATTATCATCACTCTCCTCAATCAAGCGAACCCCAGGAATAGGAATGTTCTTAACAGTAGCAGCCCGAATATTCCGATTGAAACACTCTTCATGCAACTCCCTGAAAATGGCCCACTGGCTCCTGTCCGGAAATTCCAAGATCCAATCCTTCCCTCCCTTCCACATCATAGCATGAGTATAGCGATTTGTTGTCCCAGGCTGCAGAAACTGGTGTGCCTTATATGAATACCTTGTAGCCCCAGAAATTTTGACCAGAATTCTCCAGTCCTTATGGTCAACAAACTCTAACACAACCTGTGCACCACTCTCTCTCCATCCTCTGTCCCCTGCAGTAATCAAAACATTTGCATCACAATACAACACTTCTGGGTGTCTCTGTGGACTTCTAGACCCAACAGACATTCTCTTCTCATTGTCAGTCCTAATCCTTTTATAAGGACGTCCTTTCCGTTGATGACTTCTAGGCTTTGAGCCAAACTCCTGACCTCCAAATGGCAATAAATATGAGACCTGAGTCCGTGGTTTCCTAGAACCATTCCCAAATCCACTCAGAGCAAAATCTGCCTTTCCATCAGGCCACACTTTTGATCTGTAGCCAAGGGATGAAGAACCAAAGCTATGTCTGTTCCGATGCCATACACTACGCGGTGCAGTAGGATTTGGGCTCCGAATGCCAAAGTCATTCATGGTCCATGGTGAATCAATAGAAGACTGCTGATTGTTCTGTGTTTCCCTATCAAAATGCTGGTTTTCAACTTGGCCAAGAGGCGGACTCTGAACATTAACACCATCCAAAGAGAAGCACCGACTTTCAGAGTTATCTGGAGAAGATCGATGCTCAGAAAGTGAAGGCCATGACTTTTCACTACATTGTTCTGATCCTGCATAATGAGACAAATTCTGTTGCAGTCCATCAATGCCATCAATCCTGTTCTTCCCTGAATCTTTGGGATCTACAGAAGTTCTAGTTACATTAAGCTCACCATTTAGATATTTCTTAGAGGTCTTTATCCAATCACCATCACTGCCTATGGAGAGAGCATCAGTCTCTACCTTCATTTTGGAACAAGACAACCATCTAGACCCAGCAGCAGTCTTCAAAGTACTCCTATTATTTTTAACGGCCACTTCTGAGATTTCAGTAGGTATAACCTCGATAGGAATGCTTTCATCGCACATTGGTCTGCCACAATCTGGACCCTCCAGTAAGGACATTGAGTTCTGGTTCTGGAAACTCAAAGAGGCAACATTATTTTCCACAAGCATCTTGAGATGCAGGCTGAGAAAGAAAGTGGGTGCAGCAGCAAAAGAAAGTACAAAGGAAGGAAGTCTCCAGTGATTCTCATCAGAATTTGAATCTTGACATCTTAAGTCAATGGAAGCCAATTCTTTGGAGACACCAATTTGCATAATACCCTGCCTAGATCTTTTCCTCGAACTCTGGTTGGTAGGAAAAACAGTATCAAGTTAATCCCATATGATAACAAGTGCTCAACAAGAGCAAACAGGTGACAATGTCAAAATATTTATATAATATTTTGGGTAAATTACTTAAACCTCAACTGTATTTCCTGACAAATACTTTAACCATCCCTGCACTTTAACCTCTACAAATTCCTCCCTTGACATTTCGGAGAAATTATACGAACAGACCCCTTCCATAGTTTAATATTAAGAATCTAACCAAAAAGGATGATTTCATGCTTTTAAGCACTTCAAATTTCCCATATTGCCCATGAATGACAATATTGGAGTGTCTATTGACCAAAATACCCCTTCCATTATTTTGACATTAAGAGTATTTTGTTTTTTGAAATTGGTCAGCAAACACTGTATTATTATCATTCATGAGAAAATTGGGAAGTTTAAAGTGTTTAAAAGCATGAGATCATCATTTTCAGTTAGGTTCTTAACACTAGCGGCAAACTAACAGGAGGTCTATTTGTGTAATTTCTCCAAAATGTCAATGGAGGAATTTGGAGAGGTCAAATTACAGGAGAAGTTAAAGCACTTGTCAGAAAGCACAGGGGGGGTTAAGTAATTTACCCTAATATTTTATTACCATGGATTAGATAAGTAGATGGAATAGCATAATGACAAAGATGATGAGTGCAAAACGAAGCAGAGAGAAACCATTTAAATTGAAAAAGGGGGAAAAGGAAAGAAATTACCTCATGAGAAATGAGCTCCCCGCAAGTGGGAGGAACTCGCAACTGAGCACTGCCATTCTGAAGAAGCTTAATATTATCATATGTGCATTCAGCAAGAGGAAGCTGCATACTAACCAAAGAGTATTTCTTCAGTCTAGAATCCAGGTACAACCACTTTGAATTTTTTACCTCCAAGAAGTTGTAGACAACAAACACAAATTGCCTTTCAAGTTCCTGAAAGCCAGAAAGCTTAAACCTAATTGATGTCACTGGCAACTGCAAATGTACAAGCTCTCCATACTCAGACTGGCAAAAAGCAGTCAGGACCAAACATATAAAAGCCACTGCCTGCGTCAAGCAGCCTTCGAATGATATAAACCTCAACCCAGCAACATTATCAACAAAAAGCATCTCCAAATAAACCTTTGGCCAAGGGGTCGTTACTGTACCACAGTGAAGCAGCAACACAGTACGGTACAGCCAAAATTTCTCAGCTTCAAATGAAAGAATGTGGCTCCATCGGGGCAGGAAGCTTAACATCAGTTTAACTTGTTTCAATTTCTCAAGAAGTATAGTCATCCTTAACAACCCAAGGTTCTCACCATCCCACAATATGCTATCACAATTTAAGGATTTCCAATCTTTCAGGCAAGAGCCTTCGAGAGTAACATCACACTCTTCCAGTGCTCCTACCCTGTCAACAACCAAAGCAAGAGAAGTAACAGAACCAGATAAACTTCTGTGTCCAGAAGCCTCTTCAGATGTACAACCCATTGCCTGCCCTCTCTTGCGAAACCGCTTCCTGAAATAAACAAATGGAAGCCTTTTCTGATCAGAGCATGTGATGCTCGTCACAGGCTTCTCAGCCATTTCTCCATGAAATGAACAATCTTGCAACACAGAATTACAAAATATTTCATTATTATCCGTTCTAGAGGGGCCTGCAGCGAAACACCTTTGTGGGGGACTGACTGGATTATCAACAACAGGCAGCATTTGGTCCTTAGATGGGCAGGATTTTTTCTGCCTCTTCACAACACCAAGTGGGGAAGATTTTATGCGACGAGTTGATCGAGCCAACCATGAAATGATGGGCTCTGAATCCATATAGGTGCCTATACAATTGCTATCTTCCTCATTCACATCTTCCACATCTACATGTTTACCTCCCTGCACTGATTTTTCTGGACCAGACTTACCAGGAACTTCACTGGGGAGTAACAAGAGTTTGAATCTCTCATTTTGGAGGTCAATCCATTCTTCATCACGGTCATCATATTTAACATGATGCAGCTTCCTCTCTGGATCATAATTATTAACAACACCAAAATACCAACTCTTGTCCAATGGCCAAAAGACTTTGATCCTTCGGTTTAGAAACCAGTATGCATCCAAGTCCCCAGAAAATATCTCATAAAAGTGGCGTCTCTTCCTCACAATACCCTTCTCTTTGTGTTGTTTTCTGGGACGCAACACTCTGCCTGCAGCATCAACAGATGTGGAGTCAGACCCAACTGAATTATTTGCCCCCCGACTCAAGAAATCCTGATGAACTGAAGGCAGCAACGAAAACCCATTCATAGACTGTGATGCAGAAGAAGCCTTACTGTTTCCAGTAAACCTGGTACAGCTTGGGTCAAACCGAGAAGACAACATTCTTGCAGCATTCTGCTCAAGGTTCTCCTCATCATCTTCTTGCAAATCCTCACAAATCTTGTCAGAGTTATCAACCAATGGCTCCAAATCATCTACACAGCTTTGTTTCTGTGATGCTAATTCCCACCTCTTTCTTTGATTCTTTTGAACACTTTTTGGGGATGGACTGCCATTGGATCTAATAGCATTCACGCCCTCTAGCTTCACATGCCTAGCTGAATTAGCTCTACTGGAGCTATTCTCATCAAAACCATCAGAAACCTTTTTCTGTTTTCCTTCAGAAGAAGGTATAGGGTTGACAGAATCACCATTTAACTCAAGTATCTTTGTATCATAGCTGACTTTATCACTTGATGCAGCCACCTGTTCCAAGGCATGATTGTTTTGGAATTTCTTACGCCTCAAAAAACCTCGGCGTCGTTTCGGGATACTCTCATCCAAACTGTGTGAAACGTTGTTGAAACCACTCAATTTGTGCAAATCCTCATCCGCCAAAAGTTGGACATCTTTATTCTTTGCTTGATTCTTTTGGTCTAAACATAGATACTTTGATTTTGAATCTGAATTGCTCGAATCCAGGGATCCCAAATTCAAACCATTGTCATGTACTGAATCTAAACTATTTCTGCTCTTCTTATTAACGGGTTCGAAACTACTGAGAAGCACCTCTTTCCGACTCTTCCTTTTCTTCTTACCCTGCCCAACACCTACCTCTTTTTCGACGGACTCCTGTTTTTTACTCTTTAGCTCCCCACCTTCGGCCCCTTCTTTGCTAACAGAAACCCCAGACTTATCAACGTAGAGACTTCGAAGATCCAAAGATCTAGATTTCTTAGAAGTTTCAGAGACATGAGAGTTGTCTACGCTATTTTCCATCTACGGAACCTCGAACCACATAAGAAGAACCAAAACCCCCAAATTTTCATCTTCCATCAAACAAGTTTCTCTAATCCAAACCCTAGTTTCAGATCTGACACCAAAATCCCAAAACAAAAATCAATAAAACTCCGAAATTAACGCCCCAAAAACACATGCAAATCTATGAAATCCATCTCCTATCGAGATCCGAACCCTTCGTGCAAGTAAAATGAATCAATCACCAGAAACGGGCAAAAAACAACATACCTGGATCAAAATCGTCTGAGAACAAACATTTATACGCTCCGATCGGAAAATTGCTGAGGGAAAACATCGATCTCCCGCTTCAAATACGTCCTTTTTCGCATGCAAAACCCCCAATTTGTCGATCTTTTCAGGAATTCCAGTTTTTACCATCGGAAATGAAAGAATTAGGGTTTCTTCCGTTTCACAAGACTTAGGGTTTAGAACGAAAAAACACAAAATTAAAAGAAATAAAAATATAATCTTCATTATACTGTAACTTCGATTAATCAGAACCATCCGATCTAAGATCAACCCTCCATATTTTCCTGCCACGACGGAAACCCTAACAGCATTTAAAAGACATCGACAATTTCGGGGTAAACAAGGAAGAGCTGGACGGCGGAGATCACTCTGATCAATTACATCGATGGATGAGATTTGGTGGAACATTGAAAGATATAGGCAAGTTATGTGATACAGCAGGAGAATATAATTTGGCAAGGCTTTTCAACTTTTTCCTTTTTTCGCTAAGTTACAAAAATGACCCTGGTATTTGGTAAGGTTTCTGAAATACGATTCGCCTTTTGAAAAAGTAACGTAAGCGCTGAGACGCGCCACTTGGAGGTAAAACTGTAAATAAGGTCGCCCGTCAAATACAAAATGTAAAATAATTAAAAAGTAGGGGTCCTTTTCATCATTACATACGTGTAAGAGGGGTGCACCAGAAATTCCCTCGAAGCTTTAAAAACAGCTGCCTGATTTACTTAATTTTACGTTAAGCCCCTTACATAAATCACTTACCCACAAAGTCACATTTAGGCTCCGTTTGGAAAAATTCTTGCTTTTGACAACAAAATGAATCAAAAAGTGATTTGAAGGCTTAAAGGAAAAAGTAGGGAAATGAAGGGAAAGATCAGAAAATCTATACAAGGTTTGTAAAGGTTTTCCTAATTTTTACTTTCAAACCAAACACAGCCTAAGGGTTCCACGATGATAGCAGAAAGATATGATACTGAAAAAACTTTTAACCAATCAGTTAGTATTTTCGGGCTCGGGATTAATTGGTCAAAGCCCTTCCAATAATCATGTCTTTCCAGCATCATACATTTTCTCATTATCTAGAGCCAAAAAAATAAAAAATCAAACCCAAACACTTTAATCAATCAATATCTCGACTGGTTGTGAATGAATTGATTGATTATCAATCTGTTGGGTACCATATCTTTTCAATATCAGAGGTAGACTGGTTAGTTTACTACATAAGGATACAAGTGTTATATAAAGTTGTGAGCTTGCTGGTGTGGATATATCATAGTGAAGAGGGAATTTAGGTCCACACATGATATAGGTTTTCTTTAGTACACCACCTTTGTTTCTTTTTTGAGATATGATAGAAATTCAAAGCTTGCAATAAGCTTGTAATATTGATCTTGATTTTGAGAATCTATTTATTCTAAGTGAGGGGAAAATGAAAAAGGCCAAGACTGGTTGTGTTGGTCTGAAAACTGATTTTCTCCATTTCTATGGGGGTTGTAATCTATTTCTTATAATTCCATGTGTAAGTGACATCTCAAAGCTTCAATCTATGTGGCTAGGGCAATACTTTGGTGCAATCCCATTAGGGTTCCAAAGATGTAGCCCTGGATGCAATATTGAGGTATTATTTTGGTTGAATAATTCACCCTTTTTCATAACATTTTCGATTATTAATATGCTATAGTTCAAAATGAAATTAAGGCTCCGTTTGGGAAGAGTGCAAATACAAATATTCACAGTTCATGAAAATAACAGCATTTGTATTTATATTTAACATATTTCTATTTATACTATTCCCAAACCTATCCTAAAATATTCTTCCTAGGAGGATAATGCAATGGATAAATCCTTCCATTGTATAAAGAGAGAAGAACAAATGGCCAGAATGGTATCCGGCTTGTTATTACCATGTTTTAACAAGGATCAATGGGTAAAATGGGTCTTGATCCCTAACAGAAATGTATAATTTAAGGCAATAAGAGATATGTATTTAACCTTTTTCTTCACCCATAGCTCCCAACCCTAAGTGCGAGTAGGATTCTTTACTACAACCAGTCATAGAGCTTACCAACTTACCATTTGGCACCTTGCTAGAAAATTCCTCGAACCCTTTCCCTCAACTTTATATTTTTCTCTTATTTCCCATCAAACGAAAAATAGGTTAAAAATAGAATGATGCCACCTCCCAAACTAGATGTCAACAACCATATACCATGGTTGAGACCATTATAATTGGTGTAGTCATTGCTTGCACGGAGATTAGGGGTGGATTCAAGCTGAGTCGAGCCGAATATTTGGCTATTCGAGCTCGACTCACTGAAATTGTGTTAGGCCCGAGCTCGACTACAAGTCAAGTTTTTTTTTCTAAAAAATAAAAAGTATACATATAAAAATATTTGTTATCTTACATATAAAAAATTAAGAATTATAAAAAGCATTTATTAGCATACATATAAATAATGTTTTTATTTTACATACAAAAAAATAAGAATTATAAAAGTTGATTACCATTATACATACAAAATAAAAATATTATATATAAAATTTTTATAATTATATAATAAAAAATATTTATTATATATACGTATGTATGTATGTATGTATGTATGTATGTATGTATGTATGTATGTATGTATGTATGTATGTATGTATGTATGTATGTAATAAAATTTTTATAATTATTTATTTATTATACTAGGCTCACAAGCCTCACGAGTTGAGCTTCACTGGGCTCAAGCTTGGCTCGACTAGCAAACGAGCCTATATATCAAGCTCGAGCTCAGCTCGAAGCTTGATTTAAACTAAGCCAAGTCGAGCTCAAATAGATCATGAGAAGCTCGGCTCGTGGCCACCCCCTAATGGAGACCATAGTTTTCTTTGTTCACATGGCAATGTGGCCAATACCATGGCTCGTGATTAGGTGAATCAAGGAGCTCCCCTTCATGACATACCCTATTTTCTGGCATAATGACTGATAATGTGGCCAACAACATAATTTGTATACCTCACTCCGTATTGTGGTGCAAACAACAATTTTTTCTTAGGTTGTGTTTGGTTGTAGTGCAAATATTTGCACTAGTACACATGCATGGGAGTACAAATGTAAAAAAATGCAAATTCTTGCCTAATTTTGTTTTGGATTTTACTTTATTCTGCTTCATTATTCAATTTGCTTAATTTGTACTGCAATCAAACAAAATAATCTAAAATTTGAAACAAAAATAGGTCAGAATTTACACTCAAATAATTTGTACTGCAGGTTTGCATCAGTGCAAATTTATTTGCATTGCAACCAAACACAGCCTTAGGGTTCAGTTTGTTTGCAACGCAAATTTAATTTGCATTAGTTAAAATGCATGGGAGTGAAAATAGGAAGAAGTAAATTATGATTTACCTTTGCTTCACATTTGACTGTCTTATTTGTTTATAAGAAGCAAAATAGAAAGTAAAATGATGCAATCCCCACCTTATACAAGAGAGAATGGTTGTAGGAGGGTCATTTGTTTCATAGGTAGGAAGCAAGGTGTTGTGGTTCCCACTCTATATGAGAGAGAATTAAGGAGTGAGGTGGTGCAAATTTTAATTTGCTGATATGCAAATTTTACACCGCCAATGAGTGCAATTAAATGAGACAAAAAAAGTATTCATTTCAGATATGAGTGAAAATCAAAAGTACTAATAAACGGATGCAAGACTAAAACCAATACAAAATTTGTATTCCGTTCAGATTTGCACTGGAAAAAAAAAAAAAAAACAACACGTTATAAGCAACATTAAACAACTCTACATTGATTATTAATATTAGCATATAAACCCACTATTTAACCAGTCCTAATCACCTGCCAACAAAATACATTCCAACCCTTTACCAACATAGTCTTAGGCCGCACATCTCATACATGCAAGGTCCCACTTTTATGATGGGTCCTAGTGAGATGTGCTGTGTTAGATCAATCAAGGTGGTAAAAGTTAACACAATAAAACGCATGTCATACATGCGGTACATCCATACATATCTGAATAAAAATACGATACCCAAATATTTTAAAATTGCTGTCATTCCATGAAATTAGCAAACCGAGCTGTCCCCTCGTTTTTTTGTATGATAGTTGAGGTAAGATTTGATATATTTTTCAATTCCATGCATGGAATGTTAAATAGTCCCATGATTGTTTTAAAAAAATGCTTTATATATATAAAAGATGTTATATCTAGGTGTCAAGTACCATTTATTGGTTTCATAGGGATCCTGTGGATATGGGCTGAGACCTGCCATGTATAAAATGTGCGGTATCGAGACTCATCCTCCTTCTCTTATCAATTTCATGTATCATAAAATGGGAAATCTATGGAAAGACATGGTAGAAGAAGAGTTTTGACTAATAAAAACTTTCACTTGTGAATTTTGATAAATTCCACCTGATTAGTTAATAAATTTATAGTTGAATCCTTTGTAAATATAAGGATTTTGACTCACCAATATAGGTTTCACTTAAATGATCTTTCCCAGTGGCAGGTTCGGATTAGGCTTTTATTGAATTTTGAATGTGACTCGACCCAAAGGCCCAAACCCGAAGCAATGTAAAATGTTAACTCAGATCAAACCTATTCCCAAGTATAAAACCATATACTTTTTAACCATCTGATATGTGAATTATCATTAGAACTGTATTATTAATTCATCGATTCATTGTTACATAGAATTTAATATAATTGGGACCATTGAATTGTTTTTATATTTTGTGTGAGCAATGTTGATTAGAGACCTATCTGATGGAGAATCTTAACCACTTCTTGTTTGTTTTTTGTGGAACATAATTAACATAAATATGATCTATTTGAAATTTAAAAATATGTGTTTTTTTTTCTATTTAATTTAGATATTGGCTTTTGATGATTGGCAGTTTGTGTTGTCAGCTCTTTTCATATGACATGTTAGTTCTTACATACAGTCATGCCTCCAACACTGTTACTACTAAAATGAAATTCATATGGATTAATGTATCTATTTTTTTTTTAATAATGGACTAAACAACCGGAGCTAACCCTCCTCTAAACACTTAGATCCCCCAAATTAACTTGGGTGAGAATTTAGATCTGCTGATTACAACACATTATTGGCCACGTTTAATTAGCCGCACATCTGGAATATCGGTATATAAAGTTCAAGAAATGCTCCCAATGTGTAGTTGGATGAACATGGGTAACAATGTGTTGTGGTCAGCAGATCCAAACTCTTTGGAGAAAGGCAGGACTCCATCCTGAGTATAATCACCTTGGGGTCTCCTTGGATAGGAGAGGCTAAGGTCATCCACCAACAAGAGATCTTACCAATTGATGTAGTGCAATCCGGTTGTTCCCAGCTGGAGGTGATCTGGTTTCCAATAGACAACAGACTCAGTTGATCTGCAAAAAGCGAATCAGAGAACCCGGGGTTGCTTACCCGGCGAGATCGCTCCGATGCTTAAGTTAGTACTTGGTTGCAAACTAATAATAGCTTAGAATGCAAGAGGGCTAGAGAGCAGAGATTATGCGTACCTTTCACCCCCGGAGGGTGGAGCCTTTATATAGTGGAGCCTTCGCAGATTTTGCGGAGCGGTTCCGAGATCCTCGTTACGATGATGTCCGTTTCCGTGTTAATTGGGGATAACGCTGCCAACTGATAAGATTCATCACTTCCGCCCGAATCGGATGGGGGAGATAATGCTAGCTGTTACGAGGCGTGATCCCGTAAGGCGTGGAATCTAGTGGTGAGATCTTCGGGGTTGCCATGCAGTGGTCGGTCGATATTACTCGAGCTAGTGCCCTTTGGATCCGACATAGTACGAATGCCGAAGTGCCTCGGGACCGATGTGGTCCTGATGCGATCGTGCCCCGAGGTGAACTTGCCCCGAGGTGGTTTGGTTATCCGATCTCGATCCATTGTAGGCTTGGTGTGTCAGACTGGGCCGTCACCCTGCTAGTTAGGTCGTGTCCACGTGTCCCCCTATGACTAGGTCGGGCCAAATCACCCTACATCACCAATCAATCGTTTTTATTTATTTATTTACTAAATCCCTCAATGGGGGCCGTAATTCTTTATTTCTTTTATAAGAAGTAGCACAACATCACACTAATAGTAATCCTCCTTGAAAGTTAGTGGTAATTATAATAGGATTCGAATCCACATCTCCGGTAGAACAAATAAGCTAACGAACCAACTGATCTATCCCTCAATTGGCTTACCAACCAGTTGGTTGGCACCTTGAAGATGTATTTCAATTGGGTTGCAAGGGAGTACTGATGTAATCGGGGTCAAAGCAGGTGTGCACTCTTCATGAGTCTAGATCACCTGCCAACAAAATACCTTACAACACCCTAACAACATCATCTGACATTGCACATCTCATGCATGGGTGGGTTTCACTTTTATGGTGGCCCAATTTTATAGTGAGATATATGGTGCAAGATAAATTTGGTTGGGTATTAGAAAGTGTTTTGTTGGAGGAGATCCCAACTCACTCTTAATTGTGGCAATGGATCAAGTCATTTGGTACGTGTCATCAATGTTGGGAGGAGGATTATAAGAGCTTTGGATGTGATAGCTATAATATGCTGGTCATATTCAACACTATAGCTTTACAGGAGATCTCCTTAAAGCAAAATTTTGAGGGAGAATGACTATTCAGCCCAGGGTCAGAATTTTTAGGCCCAAAGTATTGTTGTGGTAGGTATCAGTTCATAATTGATGCCAATTTATAGGCGAATGTGAGTATTTGACATTTTGAATGTTTATAGATCTGCAATGGAATTCAGAAATATGCTTTGGGCCTGTCCGTACTTTTCCGGAATTTTTTATGAACACTCTGAAAACAGGATGTGGTGTTTCCAATGTGCAATGCTATTCACTCAAAGGAGTCAAAGTTATTGATTTAGGAGATCCGGGTTCAACTACACATTGGAAACATCTTTCATGAATGACAAATATTCCTGATGTGCGGCTGTAGGGTGTTGTGCACAAGCTTGAATCTCATACCCAGAAGAACTCTACCCACACCTACCCACGCCTCATTAGTCATTGCAGTTGTATATTCAGAAATCTGCCATGTTTGAAAGTTATCATATGAGTAGGCGTGGGTAGGATTATTGTGGGCAGGAGATCTCAATTCGTTGTGCACAGCTCTTTGCATTATAAGGCTACCTTGATTGATGAGATGTTCCCAATATACAACTGTTAGTAGGCGTGGGTAGGATTATTGTGGGCAAGATATTTCAATTCGTTGTGCACAGCTCTTTGCATTATAAGGCTACCTTGATTCGCCGGAAACCGGGTAGTTGATTTAAGATGAAAACTGGGTAGTTGATTGGCAGGTGCAGCAATAACGGCCGGTCCTATTTCGCGAACGGGTCCATAATCTGCACAATTACTTTTTTAGCCATATCTTAGAGCATTATTACCGTTAGTTTTCTGGTGGACAAAAATGGCAAAATAAAGAAAAGCTCGAACAAGTGAAATCCTCTTCTGTTGATATCTCTTTCTCTGCAGGCTGCACGGAAAAACAAATGCGTACTCTACTGTCTCACTCTCGGCTACTCCACGCATCTTCTTCTCTTTGGTCTTCAATTCTTGTCTCCAGTAGAAATTCCACCTCGAGAATTATCAGTTTCCGTCATCTGAGTCTCTTCAAAAGTTTCGAAGCATCTCCTTCTAGACGAACTTTTGCGATCATGGCTGGAAGTGAGGATTTCGTGAAGGGAAATGTCTTTCCCAATGGAGTGGCAGTTATCACCCTCGACCGCCCCAAAGCACTCAATGCCATGAACCTAGGTGCTCATTTTTACTTTGTTTTTCTTCTGAATTCATTAATTGACTCATTGAGTCATCGTAGATGTAATTAAATTTGCACATTGAGGTGTTTTAAGAGATGGATTGGGACTTAGAATGTTTAGTTTGCATTGTTTTAATGCGAGACGATAAACATTAAGTAATTTTCAATTTTAAGCTAATATTTTTCTTTATTATGAAATTTGATGGTTAAGTGCTCTGGAGGAAAATGTTGTATTGTGGTTCGTTCTGGGAGTTCAGAGATGTACATTGGCGTTCTTTCTGTCTTCAGGTCCCACTTGGATGGTATCCGTAATTATTTAAACAAATTGGGTGGAATACCATATTCTGCCATGGGATTCGCTGCTCTCTTTTGATGGAGTAGCTACTAGCTACTACCACTAGGATTTTGGTGTAACTATGCTCCTAGATGTTTTCTTGCAATGGGGTTATAATTATATTAACTTGTAACTGATATCTAATGCAGATATGGATATCAAATATAAAAATTATCTCGATGAATGGGAAGCAGATCCTAGAGTCAAGTGTGTTCTGGTAGAGAGCAGTTCACCTCGTGCCTTCTCAGCAGGTAACCCCCCCCCCCCCAAGTAAAGATAGAATTGCAACAAAGAAAAAACAATTCTTAATACCTCTTATAGATGTGTCATTCAGTTTTAGAAGATTCATATTATTTCGTATTTTTGGGTGCTGGGTAAGGTCTGAGGGTAACCATTCATGGAAAATGCAGTAATGGATATTAAGGGGGTTATTTCTGAAATCCAAAAGGATAAAACCACATCTCTTGTGCAAAAGGTTTTCTTACAAAGCATGTCTTGCATTTGAAATTCTTGTTTCATGGTTATATAATTGACTGTGGTTGTTATGAGGTGTCCATTGCATGATTTCTTACTGGATTATGGTTGCTCACTTGTTCTTAATAAGTGACATGTTGAATTCTTGCCAATTTGATAACCCATACATTAGTTTGATCTGCAGGTGGCGATGTGAAGCAGATCACTATGAGACGTAAAAAATCAGATATGATTGAGGTGTCGTGTCTTTTCACACTATATTCACAATTGACATGCCCAGCACCATCTGGTCGTTAATAAAAAATTTGGAGAAATACTGAACAATAGCCTTTTATAACTCATTATATTTGATTTATTAATTAGTAATGGTTATTGACTTATTGTTAGTAGGGGAAGGAAGTGCAGGGGAATCATAGTGGATTTCCCAGAGATGAGTGTGTTTGAAAATAGCAATCTAGTAGAGGATTTATCAATGAATTCTTAGTTACCAGTTACTTTTGAGAGCATATGTTCCTCTTGGCAAAGTAAGAAGACCTGGCTGGTTGTCTTCTTTACAATTTTAGACTCTATCAAATAATATTAATTTCCCAATGGTTGGTTTCACAGGTCCATAGTTAAATCGTGACATGTTATAATTTCAATAGTCAACAGCACCAGCATGCTTAATCCTGATTTACAATTTGATGACTCATATTGTAGAACTGTTAGCAATCTAGAATCTAGGCAAAAGTGAATAGTAAAAGAATTGCATTTTCTGTATTTAACATCAGCCCAATGTTTTAAAATGATGAAAGGTGAGGTGAAGCATTAAAGTGTTTCACTTGTCTAAAACATGAAGTGTAAGCCTCATGATCATGCCAATGAATTAATAATTGTGTTAGATGTATTAGTTCTTATTTTATTTTTTATTTTTTTATGTTGTACTGGGACATTTTCTGTTTTAGTGGATCAAGTAGCTAGTCTATATGTGTGTGTGTGCACGTGTACATGTGTATGTGTGTGGGCCATTTTCTGTTTTAGCTCTTATTTTTTTTTTTTTTTATGTTCTACTGGACCGTTTTCTATTTTAGTGGATCAAGTAGCTAGTCTATGTGTGTGCATGCGCGTGCATGTGTACACATGTACATATCATTCTCCAAACTTTTTTGCCTTAAGGTGATCGAGTTTCTTCTTTCCCCGCTTTGAGAGGCATCTTGAGGCTCATATGTTTGTCCCTCGATAAAATTGAGATAATTATAGGTAATTTTCCTAGTTGAATTGAGGCTCTTGGAAGGAATCATAATTGCAGTAGGACTCGTGTTCTGAGGTGATTTTAGAATGAGTGCAAGAAGGTTTCCTGGTTGGATTGAAACTCTCAGAAAAGTTTTTTTTAGGACTTCTCTGGAGTGTCCTAGTGTTATTGGACCTCTTAGAGAACACTCAAGTGATTTTTTTTAATAGTGTGCTTTTAAAAGAGTTTTAAAGCTTATTATTATATGGTAAATAATGTCGTTTGAAAAATGAATTTGGGATTTTTTTTTCCAAGTATTCCAATGGTATAAAGATCCTTGGATAAATCTAATGGATGGTGACTGTGTTAGATAGTGATTTCTAAGTGGTTTCTTAGTGTATGACACTGTTGTATGAAATGATTTAGTTGTTATTAAATTTTGCATGAAAGGGTTGTTTGTCAAATTTCTATTACTTAGGTCTGTAATTTCAGATGTGTTGTTAGGCCTCTTTGCAATTATAGAAAGCCTTTATTATCCTGACCATGTATTAAAAAGCGGAATAAAGATTTCAATCCAAGAGTAGAGGGATAATATGTTGTTATGCCACTTTTAAGAAAGAAAAAATGTCTCTTAATTGGATCCTTCACCTCTTGAATGTTTTTGAGGCTTTATATATGATATTTTAGTCTCCTCAAAACAAGAATTAGGGCTGTTAAGAAGTGCAAATGTCAAGCTCTAAGGAGGGACCAATAAGCAATTGTTTTGGGACTTGGGAGTTGAAGCTGAAAACCGCAAGGATTTGACCTCCATAAGAGAGCAAAAATTGTTTTTTTCTAACTTTCTTATAAACCTCTCTTATGGAGGTCAAATCCTTGCGGTTTTCAGCTTCAACTGGTATGTTGAAATTTTCTAGCTAGGGCTGGAGTTGAAAATTTTCAATTGGAATGGGGCTGTCCAGGACCGGGTGGTATCTTGTAATGTTGTAGTTTTGTTTTCTCCTTGTAATCTTGCTGTCTGGCTTTGTTTTGTGGAAGCCCTTTTACTGTATCCTTGCCCTCTATTCTGTTAGCAGGGTTTTCAGAAGAGGGCTTCTAAAAGGGTGGTCTGTTGGTGTACACCAGAAGTCGAGAAGCTTCAAGTTAAATTTTGATGGGCGTTGCCTTGGAAATCCAGGAAGTTCAGGTTTTGGAGTGTTGTCAGGGACCATAATAGAAACATTCTACTCAGTTTCTCTGGGCCAGTGGGCTAATGGTAACTCCTTACGGGCTGAGCTGAAAGCTCTATTACAGGGATTAGAGTTGTTGAAGCTAAAAGACTTAAAAAATGTGGAGGCGGAAGGTGACTGTTGAATTCTTTTTTGATAGTAGAAGAAACAGGACATGATCCTATGGAAGTTTAGGCCTTTGGAAAAGACAGGCACAACTCTTGGGTTCCTTATTGAATGCCTCATTCAATTGGGTGCCTAGGAGTGCTAATGCATTGGCTGATTCTCTAGCTAGGGCTGGAGTTGAAAATTTTCAATTGGAATGGGGCTGTCCAGGACCAGGTGGTATCTTGTAATGTTGTAGTTTTGTTTTCTCCTTGTAATCTTGCTGTCTGGTTTTGTTTTGTGGAAGCCCTTTCTTATAAACCTCTCTTATGGAGGTCAAATCTTTTTGTCTGGTTTTTTTCTAACCGCAAGGATTTGATCTCCAATTTTCTAACTTTCTTATAAACCTCTCAACTATTGTTTCCCAGAAGGATTCATTCCCTAGGGTTAACCCCTAAAGGAAAGCCAAGATCACCGACCATTTCCCAATTGCACAACCCAAAACTGTAGCACACTCCTTAGTAGACGTTCAGGACTGCTATCAGTCTTGAACCCTAATGGATTTCAGGTTCGGAAATAGAAGAAGAGGTATAGAGAAGAGAGGAGAAAGAGAAGAGAGAGCAGTAGAACACAAGAGTTGAAAGGAGGAGCGGATTCTTAATGTTTTGCCGCCGCCACTTTATTTAGTATTTATAGGTTATGCTCATTACATGGAAAGGACAGATCTGCCCTTAGTATTTACATAACAAATAGAACAAATTAAAACTGAAATAACCAACTGACCACCAGCTAACCCTAGGATGACTAGAACACCTTCTACCCTACGAACATAGTGGGACCATAGCTGTGGGGCCCACATCAGTGTTCTCTACATCCTCCATTTCAAATTCCCCCCTTTTTAATGCAACCAAACTGCACCTTGACAAGTTGACTCTCAAACTTGATACTCTTTCCACTATCTCCAAAATTCTCCAAAATTCTCTCACATCTTGAATACCCCTAAACTCCCCCAAAATCAATGTGCGATCAGCAAACTACAGGTGAGAAACCACTTGAATCAAACTCCCCACCCTGAAGCCTCCAAAAATATCTCTCTCATCAGCCCTTCTTAACAATTTGCTAAAAAGATTTGGCTTACCGGTCATGTGGTTAGAGGCCCCTAAGTCAATGATCCAAGGGGAATTAGTGGTAGTGGTAACATGGAAGGCAGAAGCTGCATTACCTGATGTAGATGCAAATGAAATAGGAGTACTACTAACTGAACTGTCCATCTGTCACAAAGCCCTACCATATGACCCCAAGTGATTACAAAAGGAATTCATGATATCTTCATTGGGGTCAGAACTAGTGAAGTGGTCCCGAGTAGTACCAACAGAATGAGTATCTTGGGTTGCCACATTTGATGCATCATGTGCTGTATTCGACTTCTTCTGACCTTGCACATTACCCTGTTCTTGGTTCTTCACAGCCCACTTTGGCTTCCCATGAATCTCCCAACATGTGTCACGTGTATGTCTTGAACGTTGACAGTGGGTACAAAACAACTTGTCCTTATCATCAACCTTCTTGGAGTCACTTTTCTTTCCCATATTGTTACCACCCATTGTAGCTAATGCTACCTATTGGTTCCCCTTAGTTGTAACCATCACACTCCGCTTACTTTCCTCAGATTGAAGCAGGGCATACACCTTTTGAACTGAAGGCAACTCTTTACTGCCTAAAATCTGAACTCTAAGAGGTTCATATACAGGGTTTAGCCCCAACAAGAAGGAAAAAACCCGCTGCTGAGAAAGAAAATTCTTATAAGCCTTAGCATCACCATCATGTTTCCATTCTATAGCCTGATAGTGGTCCAACTCCTTCCATACTGAAGTAAGGGCTGAGTAATAGGCTGACAAACTACGGTTCAGCTTGTAATTGGTAAATCTTGGCATAGTGTCTTTGCTCAGAATAAGTTGTTTTGGCCTGTTCCCATATCTCACTAGCAGTGTCTGCCCACATAAAATTCTTCTTGACATCGGGTTCCATGGCTGCAAGAAATCAGGACATCACCAAGGGGTAATTGGCATAGGAAACATCATGTTTTCACCTCCCATACCAATTGATCCATGGGTTGATGTAACCCTAGATGAGACAGAATCATCATTTGCCATTGAGAGCAGCACAAACTACAAGTCAAGAAACTGACCTACAGATGTACACAACCAGTCCCCACTGAACTAGTACCTTTCACAGTCTCAGTCTGGGCACTAAACACCAATCCAATCACAACTGAAATGCACAGCAGCACTAAACAGTTCAGGAGCAATCAAACAGTCCAGAAAAAGGCAATGGAATACTGTTGAAATTCATTAATAGCAATCAAACAGTCCAGAGATTTAAATCTCAGTCCCCATTGGTCTACCCACTGCACACACCAACAAATCACAGCACATACCTGTGTCAAAGGGGATCACACACCCCTGTACAGCACCTGCCCGAGGGTGCAAATCCAAGAAAGCAAGCTTTCACAGCATCGGCCAAAGAAAGAACAAGGTCTTCATAGCATCGGCTCTCTCCAACTAGGGTTACCTTGGTACTACGACCAAGGAACCCAGAAGAAAACAGAAACAGTGGTTCTACACAATCCGATTAGGGTTTCTTGTCTTCACTGTCCAAGAAATAAAAAAACTGGGTTGATGGGTGTGATTCTGAGGAGGAAAAAAGGATTCCTATCGCCCAGAACCTTGCTCTGTACCATATTTTCCTTCTAGAAGAGAGAGAAACGAGAGAGGAGAGGAGAAAAGAGAGAAAAGAGAAGAAGAGAGGGAGAAAGGTTTGAGAGTCAAAAAGTATGGCTGGCGGCACCCAGCTTCTTATTTATAATAACTTAACATAAAATAAGTAGAAGATTACATTTATACCCCTGGCAGCACACCCTAATAATAAACTACTTTAAAAAAAAAGAAAAGAAAAGAACAAGCTGACAGCAAATCTAATATATATATATATACATATATATGTATATATATATATATTGTTTGCCGAACTGAACTTGTCAAGTGAGCAGAGAAGAAGAAGAGGAAGAGAAGAGGAGAAAGGAAGAAATGTTCGAATGGGCACTGTTCATCAGCCGGCCCTGTTCACTTATATAATAACAGTACATAAAGTTACATAAAAGGACTAGGATGCCCCTGATTAGTGATGGGACACCCAGTCAAATAAGACACTAAATAAAAATAGGCCCAGTAACTAAGGCCCATTAACTAAAGAACTTAATACCCAACCCAGACAAGAGGATAACAAAATATCAGCCGAACCAACATATATATATATATATATATATTAAAGGAAGGCTTTCAGGCTACAACCCCCCCACATTTAGACACGTGTCTTTTTCAAATTTAGACACATGGCATTTTCTGAGAAGTTGTTGTTAAAGCTCACAGCCCACTACCACCACCCCCACATTCAAACACGTGGCTTTTTCAAATCTAGACACATGACATTTTTTGAGAAGTTTCTATTAAAGTCCACAACCCACTACCACCATTCAGACAAGTGGCCTTCTCATTTTCTAGAAAAGCTAGACATGTGGCAATTTCTGAAAATTCTTGCTAAAGCCCACAACCCACTACCAAGCTACAACTCTCCACCATTCAGACACATGGCCTTCTCATTTTTCTGGAAAGCTAGACACGTGGCATTTTCTGAGAAGTTGTTGTTAAAGCCCACGACACACTACCAGCATTTTCAATCCATTCCTAAAAAAAATGCAGAAAATGCAAAAGTGGTTATCCACAACCACTTCTGCCTACATTCTATCAATTTTAGTTAATCATTAACCCTCTACGTATCATAACAAAAGAAAACTATCCATATTCTAATAATTATTAAAAAATCTATTTTTTGAAATAAATATTTCATGAAATTTTAATAATTATTTAAAATATTAATAAATATAAATTTAACAGTATTGATTCCATAATGTAAATTTAACATTACTGATTCCCCGTACTTGGTACGAGGTCATTCACTAGTATAAAAAATAAGTGAATAACACTAACAACAATAATCATGGAACAATCCTCTTTCTCATACATAATTTATAGATTGTTTAGTAACATTTGTTTGCCTAGAAAAAATAGGGGTTTTTAGAGAAAGCTTGTTTAGTGACATTTGTTTGCCTTTGTAATTCTGCCTTAGCTGCTCTAGGCTTCACTATATCCTCTGATGTACTTCCTCTTTTGGTTTCAATAAAAGTTATCTTTGTTCAAAAAAAAAAAAAATATTAAAGATGCTAGTAGATAAGATCTTGGAATAATTTATGATCAACTGTGGATCTGGTTGTTGGGAGTCATTGAAATGTAATTACGTAATTTGGTTTGCATTGATGGATGCTTATTTTCTTTTAATGAAAATTTACTTTTATACCATCAAAAAGGGAAGATGAAATTTATGATTGATCTTTATGTTAAGATAATCTTTATGAATGCATTATTACTATTCATGGTTTGTACTTTGTAAAGCGTAAACTTTGCATAACTTGGTTGCTTTATGCATTTGCAGTTTGTTGCCTTCCTGTATAATTTACATTGTTCATGGCTTACTGTTGATTAAACAAATTCTATGTCAGGCATTTACTGCAGAGTATTCTCTCATATGCAAAATTTTTTACTATAAAAAGCCATATATCTCATTCATGGATGGCATAACAATGGGATTTGGAATTGGACTTTCTGGTCATGGTCGGTACCGGATTGTCACTGAGGTATTATTTATTGTAGATGCTATGGTTATGATATAAATTTCTCCTCTAATTTTCGTTTTATTAGATTTTTAACATTCTTTCATTTGGGGATTTACTTCAGAGAACAGTCCTTGCCATGCCAGAAAATGGAATTGGCTTGTTCCCAGATGTTGGATTTGCTTACATTGCAGCACATAGTCCAGGAGGCGGCTCAATTGGTATGCCTTTTGATGCTCCCTTCCCTTTACTATTATGATTGTTGTTATTATGTGCATGGAATTGATCCTTTAACCCTGATGCCTCTCCTCATCTGATTTCCAGATCTGGACATTGTATGACATTAAGCTTTACAATTACCAAAATGTAGTTTTATTTAGTGATCTAGAAGTTCCGTTTACTATTATAATTTATGTTGCTTTTCATTAACACTAGTTAAAAATTATTTGTCAATTGATGTTGACAAATAATTATAATATAATAGTAAACGGAACTTGCAGGGCCCAGCCTAGATCACTAAATAAGGTTTTATTTTGTTGATATGAATGGCCCAGCCTAGCCTGAATTTGCAGGGCCTGCAACTAGGGGGGGGGGCAAATTGCCATCTAGTCATTTATCATCTTATGTATTTAATGGGAATCTAGTGGTAATTAACTTTGAATAAGGTTTTATTTATTTATTTTACAATTTATATTCTTCTGGGTATTTCTATGTGTTTCTTTTTTTCCTTTTTTTATGCTATGTTTGATATAGTGCTTTTTGTATGTTACAGGTGCTTATCTTGGAATGACCGGGAAAAGGATTACTTCTCCTTCTGATGCATTATATGTAGGCCTTGGGACTCATTATGTGCCATCTGGAAACTTGGGCTCACTGAAGGAGTCCCTTCTTGCACTGACTTTGTATTTCTCAAATAATCTCTATTTGTGATACTAATAATGTATTTAATGGTACCCCTAAGTCTTTTAGCAAGTGGTTAGCATGACGAAACAGTTATACTGTTTCCAATTGAAGCAAAATAATGGTTAAATGTGGTTTATGAGTTAGTGTATGATTTCTTTTACTTGCATTCTATTCTGCATACAGCTCCGATGATCCACATGAAGATGTTAATGCACTGTTGTCCAAGTATAGCAAGGAGCCTGAGGTAAAGGCCCAACTGGATTTGCTTTTACCACAAATAGCATCATCCTTTGGCACACATAAATCTGTCATTGAGACGATGGAAGAACTTGAGAAGCATCAGCTGAGCACAGAAGCTACAGGTGTGGTGGACAGACTTTAAGTTAAAGAATCAATTTCATAGCTATACACTTTTTTTTTATCAGTAAACAGAACATACTTCATTAGATATGAAGGAGAAGTTACAACATAGATTTAAATACAAATTTAGAAACAAGAAAACACCACTTATCCATAGTTACAATTTAAGCCAAATCTGCGCCCCCCCCCCCAAAAAAAAAAAAAAAAGATCCCTATACACCTCTTGTTTTGCCAAAGTATCTGCCAATCCATTTTCTGTTCTCTTAACCCACTCCAAACTTGCCTCAAGCTCCTTTGCTAAGCTATTGATTTCTCTGGTTATATGTCTGAACTTCCACACACCTGGGTTCTGTCATCCATCCAAGAAATTACTAGTTTGGAGTCATCTTCTTTTTCCAGGTTCTTAAACCCCCACTGCTTTGCTAATTTCAGACCTTGATGTAAAGCTGTTATTTCTGATCTTACAGAATCCCCTATTCCAATCGGCCCTGAGAACAAAGTTACCGCTTTCCCTGCATCTCTTAAAATCCTTGTCAGGTGCACAGACATTTTGTAATGAGACTTTAGAAGATAGATTTGTAGTATGGGTTAGTAAATATGAGGAACAAGTGGTGCTGCCATCTCAGTACTTTACCAAATATCCTGAAACTTGATTTGGATTATCCAAAAGCATGATAAGAAACAAACTCTGGCAATTCCAACCCCTAAATCTAATCGAATAGAAAAAAAACGTAAATCCAAAACTTCAGATCAGGATATTTGCTGAACTCAAATTTTCTGTGTCACAGGACCTCAAAGAACAGACAAAAGGTTGTGGAAAACTAACAACAAACACTAAAAAATAATAATTACCAACTTCCATTGGTTTAGCCAACTCTTTTTTTTCTTTTTTATTTTTTCCCTGAAGCCTTGGTTTAGCCAGCTGAAGAAGGGCCTAACAGTTGATATCAAGTAGAGGAAGTATATTGACTCCCCCTCAGTCCCCCATCCATTATAGGGAAAAATTCAATAATGTCCCATCAGAGTCTATGAGACATTCATTGTGTCCAAAGATGTTAACTGACCATGCAATTCTGGGGTTCTGTTACTGGTTTACCAGACTGTAATTCTTCTTGCCACTTAATTTTTCTGCAGTGGCAGAATGGGCTACTGATGCACTTGCAGGGCTTGGAAAAGGTGCTCCTTTTTCTCTATGTTTAACACAGAATCACTTCTCTAGAGTTGCCTCTGCACAGGGTAAAAATGGTAACGATCTATGCAAAGTGAGTTTCTCTTTGCTGTTTTAACCTTTTTGCAATTTTTAATTGTCCGTTCTCGAGGCTTCTTTAGTTAAAAAAAATGTGATCCATTCTCCCAACATGATTGTTTGTATCCAGTTACATGGTGTAATGAAAGCTGAATATCGTATTGCCATAAGGTCTTCGCTTCGAAATGATTTTGCTGAAGGTGTACGTGCAGTCTTGGTGGACAAGGACCAGGTTTTGAGCTTTTCTTATGAATGATGTAATAATATTTTATATTAAATTAGAAAATGTGGAAAGTTTCTTATTAATGTTCTTGACCTGATATGGCTACAAATCTGTTCCTTTTTTCGGAGTTTCAAACAGTTTTGGTATTGTGATCTTTAGGTACTATCTTATCTTTTTTCTCTTTGATTGGTGGTACCATGTTATTGTTATTTTAAATGCTTTCTCTTACTTGTCTTCTTTGGTACAATCTGCTTATAAAATAGTTTCCTGTTCACAAAATTTGTATGTGGCAAATGATGTAAATTCCTATGTGACTCGCATTCATTTGCATAAACAATGTATTCTAGACGTAAGTGGATCAAGGAAGGTGATGGAAATACTAGATTCTTCCATGCTTTGGCTAATGGTAGGAGACGGAAAAATTTTGTGAACAAGCTAGAAGTAAATGGAGATGTGGTTTCAGGTCAAGTAGAAATTGCTAGAGTTCTTATTGATCACTTTAAGTCTATTTCAGGAAACCTTTGAATCTGAGAGAGAATCTGGAAGATTTCGATTGGCGTATTTTAGACCTAGAAGTAGCAAGGTGGTTGGAAAGGAATTTTGAAGAGGAGCAAATTAGGAAGGCTGTCTTCTCTATGAGTAGATCTAAGGCCCTTGGGCTTGACGGCTTTACAATGGCTTTTTACTAAGATTGTTGGCAAGTGGTGAAGGATGAGTTGTGTGAATTGTTCTATGAATTTGTAGAAAAGCATTTCATTAGTCAAGGGATTAATGCTACATTCTTGGCCCTTATCTAGAAGAAACCAGATGATAGCCACCCAAAATATTTTAGGCCTATCAGCTTGGTGACTAGTAGTTATAAGATAACCGCCAAGGTCCTATCTTTGAGACTCAAAGTAGTGCTCCTGTCCTTAATCAGTCAGTTCCAAGGTGTTTTCTTGCAAGATAGACAGATAATTGACCAAGTTCTTGTTGCAAATAAGTGTGTGGAAGAAATGAGAAGATCTAATTGTAAGGGTTTTGTTTGCAAGTTGGACTTGGAGAAAGCATATTATTTGGTGGATTGGAATTTCTTGATTGAGGTGATGAGAAATTGTGGTTTTGGTGATAGATGGTGCAAATGGGTAAAGGGGTTTTAAAATCATGGCACTATTCCGTTTCGTCAATGAGGTGGATTTTTTTTCAAGCAAGCATAGGGTTGAGGCAAGGGGACCCATTATCCCATTTCCTCTTTACTTTGGTGGTGGATGTCTTTAGTAGACTCATTTCCAAGGCAGAAAGGGAGGGGGAGATTAAGGGTTGGCAATAAAATTGTAGTCACACACCTCCAATTTGCGGATGATACCATAATCTTTTGTGAAGGGTGTGAACAAAGGATGATTGGGTACCTTAAAGGCTTGGTGAAGAAATTTGAAGTTGTCTCAAATCTCAAAGTCTAAAAGGAGTTGCATTGCGGGGATTAATTTGGAGGATAGAGAATTAGAGGCTATTGCGGAGAGGCTTGAGTGTTCCATATCTAGTTGGCCTTTGACCTATCTAGGGCTTCATTTAGGTACTAATTCCAAGGATATTAGATTTTGGTCTCCAATATTAGAAAGGTGTTCAAAAAGGCTAGTAGTGTGGAAGAAGAATTACATATCTTTGGGTGGGAGAATTACTTTTATTAGATTAACCCTAGCAAGCCTACCCTTATATTATTTGTCAATGTTCAGGGTTTCACAGAAGGAGGCTAGGAAGATTGAGAAGGTAATGAGGGGTTTCCTATGGGAACTAGGGGAGGAGAAAAAAGATAACCTGCTGAGATGGGAAATATTGGATAGAGATCCAAAGGAGGGAGGCTCGGGGCTGGGTAATGTAAATAAAAAGAACTTAGCTTTGTTAGGTAAATGGATTTGGAAGTGGCTGTTAGAGAGGGACAGATTGTGGCATGAGGTGATAGCTAGCATATATGGAAGGATGAACTCTGGATGGGATGCAGTAGTGTCTCGGCGGGCTACCCTTACCTCACCGTGGAAGGCAACTCATGGGTTTCTTCGCCAGTTTCTTAGTTTCGTTAGGTATGATGTGTGTTTTGGGGGGCTGTAAAGTTCTGGGAAGACCTTTGGATTGGTTCTTCAACTCTTAAAGATTTATGCCTCTCCCTTTACTCAATTTTGTTGTACAAAAACAAGTGTGTTTCAGACTTTATCGTTCCTCCTATCCTTCCATTGAGTCATAACTAGGATTTTGGTTTCTAGAGAGGGTTGAGGGATGCTAAAGTGATAGAGTTGAACAGGTTATTGCAACTTCTTTTTTTTTTTATCAATAACAGCAATTTCATTAACCAATCTGTAAATATAGTACATAAAGGGAGATAAAAATTCTTAACTCCCCCTGCTGAGGCCAAAGCCCCAGACAAAGTCTGAAATTACAACTGAGCCCAAAATAAAACTTCTCTACCCACCCCCATCTTTGCTAACTCATCAGCAAATGGGTTAACAAATCTCTTCACCCATCTGAACATCACTTCCATGTCCTTGATCAGCCACTTAAACTTTTTCCTTTCATTGCTATACCCCCATAGGCCAGCCTTATCTTCTTTCAGCCACCCTACTACCACCTCTGAATCCCCTTGAATTACAAGTCTTCCGATATTCATTTCCTTTTCTTTCTGGACACCTTCCACAGCTGCATAGAGCTCAGCTATGAGAGAATTCCCCCATCCCTATTGGGCTTGAGAACAAAGCTAAAACAGTCCCATTCTCATCCCTAAACACGCCCCCAATACCTGAAGGCCCCCGGTTCCCTCTGCTACTCCCATCAAAGTTCAGTTTTATGAAGCTGGGGGGGGGGGGGATCCAGGACAATCTCAGGTTTGTTTTGACCTTTTGACCTGGTTACAACTAGCAATCTCACCCCCACTTTCTAAGCAAGTCATCCACAGTGAAATCTTTGAACAACTTTGAGGATTTCAGCCACTGTACTACCCTGAAATGGATCAAATCTATCAGGTCTTCAACCCTCATCTCTTTTCCAGAAAAAAAAATCCTTGAGTTTCTTTCCTCCCACAAAGACCAGCATATTACAGCCCTTAGGCATCTCCACATGGTCCTGCCTCTTTTCCACTGCCACCTGAAGAAGGAAGAAGACAATAACATCTGCAGGCTCATAGGAGGGAACCAACTGCACCCAAAAAGGGATAATGCCCATTCCCAAATCACTCTTGCATACTGGCAAGAGACCAACATGTGAAAACCAATTTCCCCATCGGCTCTACAGAGAACACACCAGTGAGGAGATAAGCATGTCTTGGGTCTCTTTTTTTTAAGTAGATCACTAGTGTTGACTCTTTCCAAAAAAGTTTCCCAACAAAAACTCCCAACCTTAGGAGGAATTGGCTTACCTCATATCTCTTTGACAGGGAAAAGAGGGTCCATGGGACTGGTTGGCTCAGTTAAGGCTTTGAAGAAAGAAGTAGAAGAGAACAAGCCCGAGGGGGTGGATGTCCAGATTCTGGTGTCCTTCTTTTTGGGGTCCAAGAAAATATTTTCAAGAAGACCAAGGAGAGTTGAAATGCTGTTCAGGTCAGTGTCTCTAATAGCCCTTCTTAACCCCAGATTCCAACTGAACCCAGAGTTGCAACTTCTTGATTTTGTTTAGTTGGATTCTACCAAACCAGATAGATTCATCTGGGTTCCTCATCCAAAAGGTATTTTTTGCTTGTGCTTCTCTTTTTAAGTCTCTTTGTTTGTCTTCTCCTCCTTAGCCTTTTCCTACTAAGGAAGTGTGGTGTTGGCCTGTTTCTACCAAAATTGGAACCTTTTGTTGGGAGGTGTACCATGGGAGGATCAACACCATAGACATGATACAAAGAAAGACCCTTCTTATGCTTATCCCAAAACTGGTGCACTCTATGTAAATCCAATGAAGAAATTGTTAACACTTACTAATATCCTGTCCTTTTGCTGCAAATATTTGGGATTGGCTTTTCTTTTTGCCTGGTTGCAGACGGTCCTTGCCAACGGAGGTAGATGAGCTTTTTGACCCTTCTACCTTTGTCTAGCCCAAAAGTAGGGGAAGGATTGTGTGGAGAAGTGCTATAGCAACGATAGTATGGATTCTGTGGGTAGAAAGAAATAACAGAATCTTCTCAGGCAAGGAGAGATGCATAGAAGCAGTGAAAGATTGTACTTCGGTGAGGGTGATACATTGGCTTAGGACCCTAGATTATTTTTAATCTTGGTTCTTTGATGATATAGGGAGAAATTGGAGGTAGTGGCCATAAGTTCTTTGAAAAAGAAAAAGAAAGATTCTTTGGGAACCCCCAACTGAAGATTATGTGAAACTAAACTTTGATGGAAGTAGTCAAGGAAACCCGAGCCCTTTAGGCATAGGAGGGGTGCTGAGAAAAAAAGAAGGGAGTACCATTGCACTATTTTCTGGTCCTGTGGGAGTGGGAGATTCCATCAGGGCGGAATTACTTGCAGCTATGAGAGGGGTACAGATAACAAGTGATATGGGACTAATAAATGTGGAGATCGAAGGGGACTCAAAATTGGTGATAGGATGGTTCAAGGATCCAGAATATATTATCTGGTGTTTTAGGGTTGAGATGAAAAAAATTAAATGGCTAACCAGAAACATGAACTTGAAAAATCTCTTGGGTTAGGAGAAAAACTAATGCTATGGCAGATGGGCTAGCTAAACAAGGGGTAAATAGGGGCAGTTTGTATTGGGCTCAGTTGTAATTGATTTTTGTTACTATCCTATTAAAGTTTTTATGTGAGAGGTAACACCTTGTGCCTCTCCATGGGATGCTTGTAATGCCTATTCTCATTGAGATTTAATAAACAATACTTTGTTTACTTATAAAAAAATGTATCATCGATAGGCATGCATAGTGTTAGACAGCAACAGTTTCTCTTTTAGATTATTCTGGTGCTTCATGCATACAGTCATGCATATAGATGCCATTAAGAAGAAGACCACTAAGTCTGTTTACGATTATGAGAAGCATGCCATCAGTTCTT